AAGAAAAAGAAGGATGATGATACCAAACCAATATTATTTCATCTTATTTCTTTCCCTTTTATTCAACACTCTTGCTTCTCCTACTCTCCAAAGGGATGCTCTTTTGGAGTTCAAAAATGAGTTCCCGATCAGTGCACCAGGCCCAGATGCTCATTTTTATACAAATTTAAGTTCATGGAACACGAGCAGTACTGATCACTGTTCCTGGGAAGGTGTCACATGCAGTGCTAATTCCGGTGAGGTGATATCACTCGAACTTGTAAGCATCTTTCTCAATGGCTCTTTGAAAGCAAACTCTAGTCTTTTAAAACTCCAACATCTTCACCACTTAACCCTTGCCAGTTGTGATCTCAGAGGAGAGATTCCTTCTTCACTAGAAAACCTTTCTCATCTCCTGCAGCTTGACCTTTCTGATAATTACTTGGTAGGTGAAATTCCATCTTCGATAGGAAACCTTTCTCATCTCATGCAGCTTGACCTCCCTTCTAATCAATTAGGAGGTGAAATTCCATCCTCCATAGGAAACCTTTCTCATCTCATGCATCTTGACCTTCATGAAAATCATTTGGGAGGTGAAATTCCATATTCAATACAAAAACTTTCTCATCTCAAGCATCTTGACCTCTATTATAATAGTTTGGTTGGTGAAATTCCATCTTCAGTGGGATATCTTTCTCACCTCATGGAGCTTCACCTTTCTAGTAATAAATTGGTAGGTGAAATTCCATCTTCATTAGGAAACTTGTCCCGTCTCACAAATCTTGATCTTGCTTACAATCACTTGATAGGTGAGATTCCGCCTTCAATTGGCAACCTAAACCAGCTAATATTTTTGAGCTTCCACTCAAACAACTTGAGTGGTAACCTTCCTAGTTCATTTGCCAATTTCAATAAGCTGTCCCAATTATCTCTCTCAGATAATCAATTCTCTGGTGGAGATTTACCTCACATACTATCAAATTTAACCAGCTTGTCCGAACTAGACCTTTCCAATAATAACTTCAAATCCACACTTCCATTTAACATGAGTGGACTCCATAGTTTGCTGCGGTTTGGAGCAAGTGGAAACTCTTTTGTCGGGAGTGTCCCTACTTCCCTGTTTACAATTCCTTCGTTAGAAGAGATTTCTTTGAGTGAAAACCAATTTGAGGGACCCTTAGAGTTTGGGAATACATCCTCATCTTCTGAGTTAGGCGCGTTAGACCTTGCTTCTAACAACTTCTACGGTCCAATCCCTGAAGATATATCTCTATTTTTCAATATCTTTGCTATACATCTCAGCTATAACAGTTTTATTGGGCCAATCCCTGGATCTATGTCAGAATTAGTCTCCCTCCAGTTTCTAGATCTCTCCTACAATAAGTTGAATGGTCAAATACCGAGTTTCTTTGGGAGGATCTTTAAGTTGAGGCTTTCTCATAATTCTTTCAGTAGCTTCGAGGAATCACCGCAAGTTGTCGTCAATGGAAGTGACTCTGATCTTAGCTCAGATACATCCGAAGTACCACACGAAATTGATCTTGGTTCAAATGCACTCTATGGATCATTCTCCCGATGGATCTGTAAGGCTACATCATTAGCCTTCTTAGATCTGTCAAACAACCATCTCACTGGTTCCATTCCTTCATGTTTGACGAATTACACTGCTTCTCTTCGCGAGATAATTCTCAGAAACAACAAGTTGAGCGGATTCCTTCCAGATATCTTTACCAATGCCACTGGGTTACGGTCACTAGACGTTAGCCGTAACCAGTTATCGGGGAAGCTTCCAAAATCTTTGATCAACTGCAAGTCTATGGAATATCTGAATCTGAAAGGAAACAAGTTCAATGACACGTTTCCATCTTGGTTGAGATCTTTGGATTCATTACGTGTTCTGTTTCTCGGATCAAATGCATTTTATGGTCCAATATCTTCTTCACATTTGGGGTTTCCAAGTCTGCGAGTCATTGACATATCGCACAATATCTTCAATGGAACATTACCACATGATTATTTTGTGAACTGGCATGAAATGTCAACAATGTGGGTGGATAAAACTGGACGGTCTGATTATCCTATATATGAAGGCAGTCCATATCCAGTAAACATGGACGAAATAAACGTTTATGATGATTCAATGGATATGATGTATAAAGGTGTAGACACAAAGTTTCCACGGATCTTTCTTGCGTTCAAAGCCATCGATTTTTCTGGAAATAAATTCACTGGCCAGATCCCTAAATCAGTTGGTATGTTGAAGGAATTGATTCTAGTCAACTTTTCAAGAAATGAATTCACAGGCTGTATCCCATCATCCTTGGCAAATATAACAAAGCTAGAGGCATTAGACCTCTCTCACAATAAGCTTTCGGGTAATATTCCTCTTGATCTTGCCAAACTCTCCTTCCTGTCATACTTGGACTTCTCTCACAACCTTCTCCAAGGTCCTGTTCCAAGAAGCACTCAGTTTCAAAGCCAGAATTGTTCTTCATTCGAGGACAACTTTGGATTCGATGGTCTCGAGGGAATCTGCGGAGATATCCATGCTCCTCATCCTACATCAGGAGATTCACAACAATCTAAGCAATTTTCATCCGAAGAGTCAGAAGAAGTGTTGAGCTGGATAGCTGCTGCAGTAGCCTTCGGACCTGGTGTCTTCTGTGGATTGGTGATGGGACATATCTTCTTCACTTCACACAAATACATATGGTTCATGGAGAAGTTCGGTCGGAACCATCCTAGTGGCATCATAACTGTTCGTTAAGCCCATCATTCTCAACTTTGTGTCTTTAAGCCTCTTGTAAGTCTGTACTTCTAATAAATTGTTCATCAAAATGTTGTGTTTTGTACCGTTCGTTCTATTAAATGTTATTGGTGTTATGATTGTAATGATAGAATTTGAGGCTATATTTCTTTTATAAACCCCCTGTGCACTTGCGTATAACATTTGATAGAATTTTTTATTTTATTCCTAAATGATGGCTTATATATATCATTCCAAAATCAAAACAGTCTTTAAGCTCCTCTGTTTCTTGAGTAGAGCTGGAGGAGTGGCTTTCTTATCCATTGGCTGATCCTCTGGTGTCTCGTTACTAATAACAGCAACATTCTCTGGTGGATCCTTACTGATGAGATCGGAATTACATTTCTAAAATAATCTTTCAAAGGACTTGAACAAATGGATCCAACATATGGATTCGGACTCCCTTTTTCACCATTTTCTAAAGGCACTGAAACAGCAACGTGTTTTGGAGTTCCTTAACTCATCAGTGAGTCTCGCATCCTCTCGCCCTTTTCTCTTCTTACCATCTCCTTGGACTGTTAGAACCACCTTATACTTTCAGAACTCGCTTCATTAGTAGCAGTAGTAGCTGCACTTGCTGTAACAGAAATTCTGTGCTCTGATATACTTGTTCGCTTTTTATGGCTGACACTTATCTCCACAGCATGCACTTGTTAAAAGTGTGTTTTAAGCCACCCGTAAATCCGAATAATCTTATACTTGGTTCATATTACTTTGCTGTTTTGTGATTTAGCAAGTCGCAGTTATGTGTTTTCTTGATCTTGTTTTTCTTTGTTTTGCTTATTCACATGAGTGAAATATTCCTGTATCACTTGTAAAAAACATACGATCTACGGATTCAGCTTTTTTTTTCTTCACACTTAATTTCATACCATTCAATTTTGGAATGTATTTGTTATTCAGTATCACAAGTGAGATTAATGATGGAAGGTAGGGCTAACATTTTTATCCGGGATCCGGATTTGATCCGAGATCCTCTCCAAAATTAGGATATTCGGGGGTGTCCGGATCCAAATTCAGATAGTAAAATCTCGGATCTGTGCAAACCGAATCCGGATTTCTTAATTTTTAGGTCCGGATATCCGTATTTTTAAAAATATATTAAATTTTTTATTTTATTAGAAATTATATCTGATATATTAATATTTATACATAAAATAAGTTTAAAAGTATTCTATTTTTATATTAATAATATTATATGTCATATGTATATTCATAAATTATGTTTAAATATTTAGTTTATGTATTATTTTTAGAATTTTTTATTTTTTTATTTTAATTATTTTTACGGATCCGAATCCGGATCCGGATATCCGCGGATATCACAATATCTAGACGGATATCCGAAGTCTGGATATCCGGAAGACACGTACCCGAATCTAGAGACGAAAATCACGGATTCGACAAATTCGGATTCGGATACTTCAAATTTCCCGGATATCTGAATACGTCCCATCCCTAATGAAAGGTGATGGATGACGATGCGGACCCTCACCTAGTCAAATTTAACAAAATAAAAAAAAATTAAAAAAATATAAGAAGAACAATGTGAACAGAATAAACATTTGTCAACAGGGAACGAATACTTGTCATGAAATTTGGCCCAAAAACAAAAAGAATGCGTTTATTCGTCTGTGAGAATGTGACTTGGGAGTTAAGTAACTCAATCTCTTGAAGAAGTTTTCACGACACAAAAAGCGTTTTGGGTCAATAGACATGAACACATTACATAAATCTTATGACTTTTATCCAAACGAGTGTTGCATCAAATTAAAGTATTTCAGACTTGCTTTTAAGCAAATAATACAATCGTATCCTTTTACATAAAGTAGGAAAACCCCTTTCAACTTAGCTTCAAGAATTTAGATTAGCTATTAGATTTTTGGCAGTGTAGGGGGAAGCACTATGATGACTTGCCATAGGCTTTTCGTAGAGACGTGAAGTTTATAAACTGCAAAAGAAAAACACAATTTATGTGGTTTAAACTAATGGCGTGTTGCACGTCAGACGAAGGAATTAGTCAATGATTTAGACTTTTGAGCCAAAGTGGTGGAGAGTGTGGGGACAATTCATTATTGATCAATGATCAAAGAAGAGTTGACAAATCAACTGAAAATCCAAAAAGAGTTGGCGCAAGACTTGCCAAACCAAAGCTCTTTAAAGGATTCTCCTACCCATAAGCATTACACAACTTATTACTTCTTTAAAGACCACACGAAACTTGAGAGAGAAAAAAACAACAAAGAATGAAAATTCGGAGCCAATCTTTTTTCTTCATCTTCTTTATTTCCATTATATTCAACATTCTTGCTTCTCCTACGCTCCAAAGGGATGCTCTTTTGGAGTTCAAAAATGAGTTCCCGTTCGATGCATCAGACCCATATGCTCCTTCTGAACCCCCTTTAAGTTCGTGGAACACGAGCAGTGATCACTGTTCCTGGAATGGTGTCACATGCGATGCTAATTCCAGTGAGGTAATATCACTAGTCCTTGAGTACACCTATCTCAATGGCTCTTTGAAAGCAAACACTAGTCTCTTAAAACTCCAACATCTTCAGAACCTAACCCTTTACAGTTGTGATCTCATAGGAGAGATTCCTTTTTCACTAGGAAACCTTTCTCATCTCAAACATCTTAACATTTCTGATAATAATGGTTTGACAGGTGAAATTCCATCCTCTATAGGAAACCTTTCTTATCTCAGTTTTCTTGACCTCTCTCATAATGATTTGGTAGGTAAAATCCCATCTTCACTAGGAAACTTGTCCCGTCTCACAGTTCTTGATCTTAGTGACAATCGCTTGATAGGTGAATTTCCGTCTTCAATTGGCAATCTAAACCAGCTAACAATTATTAGCTGTTACTCAAATAAACTGAATGGTACCCTTCCTAGTTCATTTTCCAATTTCAACAAGCTCTCTTATTTACTTCTCACAGGTAATAAATTCTCCGGTGGAGATTTACCTCTTATACTATCAAATTTAACCAGCTTGTCCTATTTAGACATTTCCGTTAATCACTTCAAATCAAAGCTCCCATCAAACATGAGTGGACTCCATAACTTGGAGGTATTTAGAGTGAATACTAACTCTTTAATCGGGACTTTCCCGACATCTCTGTTAACAATTCCTTCCTTAAGAGAGATTTCTTTGAGTGAAAACCAGTTAGAGGGACCCTTAGAGTTTGGGAATACATCCTCATCATCGTCTGAGTTAGAAGTGCTAGACCTTGCTTCTAACAATTTCTACGGACCAATCCCAGAAGATATATCTCGATTTCCTAAACTCGAGTTTATAGATCTTAGCAATAACAGTTTCATTGGACCAATCCCTAGATCTATGCCCCAATTAGTCTCCCTCAAGTATCTAGATCTCTCTTACAATAAGTTGGATGGTCAAGTACCAAGTTTCTTGTGGAGGCTACACACCTTGACGCTTTCTCATAATTCTTTCAGCAGCTTCGAGGAAGATGTCGTCAATGGAAGTGACCCTGATCTTATGAGTTCAAATTCATTCCAAGGACTATCCAAAGTTGATATTAGTTCAAATTCACTGCAAGGATCATTACCCGGATGGATCTGTAAGTGTACATCATTGAGCTTCTTGGATCTGTCAAACAACCTCCTCTCTGGTTCCATTCCTTCATGTTTGGTGAACTGTACAGCTTCTCTTGGCTATATACTTCTAAGAAACAACAGCTTGAGTGGATTCCTACCAGACATATTTACCAATGCCACCGAGTTACGATCACTAGACGTTAGCCGTAACCAGTTATCGGGGAAGCTTCCGAAATCTTTGATCAACTGCACGTCTATGGAATATCTGAATCTGAAAGTAAACAAGTTTAAGGACACGTTTCCGTCTTGGTTGGGATCTTTGGGATCATTAAGTGTTATGTTTCTCGGATCAAATGCATTTTACGGTCCAATCTCTTCACATTTTGGGTTTCCGAGTCTGCGGATCATTGACATATCGCACAATAACTTCAATGGAACACTGCCACAAGATTATTTTGTGAACTGGCCTGAAATGTCATCGATGGTGGGAAACGAATATTATGAATTGAGTGACGGCATAGACACATTTATGTCACGCATGGGGGGTTTAAGCTATGAAGATTCGATGGATATGATGTATAAAGGTGTAGACACAGAGTTTCAACAGATCTTATATGTGTTCAAAGCCATTGATTTTTCTGGAAACAAATTTACGGGACGGATCCCTAAATCAATTGGCTTGTTGAAGGAATTGCGTCAAGTCAACTTTTCAAGAAATGAATTTACAGGAAGTATCCCATCATCCTTGGCAAATATAACAAACCTCGAAGCACTAGACCTCTCTCACAATAAGCTTTCGGGTAATATTCCTCGTGATCTTGCTAACCTCTCCTTTGTGTCATACTTGGACTTCTCCCACAACCTTCTCCAAGGTCCGGTTCCAAGGAGTACTCAGTTTCAAAGGCAGCATTGTTCTTCGTTCGAAGACAATCTTGGACTCTATGGTCTCGAGGATATATGTGGACGGAGTCAAACACCCGGAGATACGCAAGAATCCGAGGAATTTTCACCAGAAGAGTCTGAAGAAGTGTTGAACTGGATAGCTGCCGGAATAGCATTCGGACCTGGTGTGTTCTGTGGATTGGTGATCGGATATATCTTCTTCACTTCACACAAGCACCAATTCTTCACGGAGAAGTTCGGCCGAAACGGCATCAAAACTGTTCGTTAAACACTCTCTCAACTTTGTTTCTTTTAAATTGTCTTGTAAGTCTTTATTCCAGTAATTAATTGGTTCGTAGAAGTGTTGTGTTTGTTACTTTTGGTAACATTGTTGGTGTTATAGCTTGTAATAGTAAGAATGTATAGCATTTGTAAGTCCTTTTTATAACTTGTGGAGAATGGAGTTTCCAAGTTTTTCTCATAACGATTTTCACACTGATTTATACTCAAACGAGCAATAAACCGTGTTCCTAACCATGACCCGATTTTAGATCCGACTCCTTTAATTAAATAACCCGAACCGATTTGAAATCCGTGTAAAACAAAAATGTAGGGACTAAAAGGAAATAAATTGATATTATGTGTGCCAAAAGTATAAATTATTGCAACTCCGAGGTTAGTAATAAGTTAAGAACTTGTCTTAACGAAACGAACCATCGCTATAGATTATTTGTCGGGAGCGAAGGGGGTTTTGCTGCAAATGGAGAAACTGAACCAGAAACACGCGGCTGAGGATTTGATCTCTCTACCGTCAAAGAAGGCTAAGAAGACAGAAGAGACCGGATGTGATACTAAAGATCCGAGAATCCCCAGTGGGGAGAAGCTTGAGATTCTTGGAGGTGGAGAAGCCATATCGTCCGTTGCTAATAGAGTGGTGGAAGAAGGTGACTCTAGCTGTGTAAGTGAAGAGAAGAAAGGATTTGTTTTTGAAGCTGATGTTGCTGAAGACAAAGGAGCTAGACAGACGATGGAAGATGTTTCGGTGGTTTTGCCCGATGCTTCTCTGGATTTTCCAGGGAAACTAAGGTAAAAAAAGAAGTAACTTTCAGTATGAATCTAGTTTGGTAATTAAGAACACATCATCAAGCTTGTTTTGTCAGGGAAAATTTGAGAAAACTTATAGTCTTGTTGTGCTGCTGCAAAAGTGAAATGCTTGGTTCTTCTGTAATGATGTTATATTGTTATGTAGGTGTGGTCATTTTGCAATTTATGATGGGCATGGTGGTCGTTTAGCTGCAGAGTTTGCTAAGAAGCATCTTCACATTAACGTTCTTTCCTCTGGCTTACCACGTGAGTTGGTCTGTTTTACTTTGGTTCAGATTCATTATTTATGTCTTTTTCTCGCATAGTTAGACTATTTTGGTTTCACCTCAGTAGGTCTAATTTCACATTTTTTCTCGTTTTATTGTTGCTTCAGATGGACGTCAAAGTTGCTAAGAAAGCTATACTTGATGGTATATATGTTCGGTCTATACGTCTTTTTGCAGCTATCTAATCATTTTATTGTGGCTATTAACACTTCTTTGTTACCAGGTTTCCGGAAAACCGATGAGTTGCTCCTACAAGAAAGTGTTTCAGGTAATTTGTAACATGCTTTCTCTACACGAATGTCTGAGTCTGTAGGCTGTTGATTTCTTTGTTAATATCTCCTCCATAGAATCGTTGAGTTTATTCAAATTTCTTCTTCTCCCTGAGTCCTGACCTTTGTGTCTGACGCAGGAGGATGGCAAGATGGCGCCACAGCAGTTTGTGTCTGGATAATCGATCAAAAGGTATAACCATGGGATGAAGTCGTTCCTCCTTTGGAATGCTATATATTGACTCTATTATTACATGGACTTCACTAAGTTACTCAAACCTCAAGTCCATTATTGACACCCGTAAACGTTGATGCATTCTAGGTTTTTATTGCCAATATTGGTGATGCTAAGGCTGTTTTGGCACGATCCTCTTCTACCGAGGAATCAGGGAATCATACAGAAGCATGTACTCCACTCAAAGCAATCGTTTTGACGAGAGAGCATAAAGCAATATATCCACAAGAGCGTTCTCGCATTCAAAAGGTTTCTTTCTATGATGAGCAAGACAGTGATATCCCAGTAAATCGAGTACCATATGCTCTGTTAATAACTTAGTCTGAGTTTCGCAGTCAGGTGGTGTTGTAAGCTCAAATGGACGTTTACAAGGGCGTCTTGAGGTTTCTAGAGCTTTTGGTGATCGTCAATTCAAGAAGGTAATGTGATCATTTAGCTTCCCACCTTGTCTTGAGTTCATAATCATTCTGACATTTAGCTCTTGTGTGCAAAATCTTTGCGACATGTGTTCTTGAACCTTAGCATTTGTTAGCCTAGACATTAGTCTTGACTTGCAAATTATATGGGTTACTCGCATCTAACAAGAGCTATTGCTTCCAGTTTGGTGTCATTGCAACTCCGGACATTCATGCGTTTGAATTGACTGAGAGAGAAAACTTCATGATTCTTGGTTGCGATGGATTGTGGGAAGTAAGCTCATAGTACATCCCTTTCGTTTTTTATAATTAAAGTTTGCTCATATTATTTAACATATTGCCTCCGTTTTCAGGTTTTTGGACCAAGTGATGCTGTTGGATTCGTTCAGAAACTCTTGAAGGTAAACCATACACGCTGGTCAAGTCTCTGTAATTCATTGCACACTCTTTATCTACATGAGCAGAAGGTTTTTTTGGTAGCCATGTGAACTAATGTGTTGAACTATGTCCATACAAGTGTAAAGGGCAATGAGAGATTACTAAGAGCTGTGATTTTGCAGGAAGGGTTACCTGTAAGCACAATTAGTCGTCGTCTTGTAAAGGAAGCTGTGAAGGAGCGTCGTTGCAAAGACAATTGCACAGCAATCGTGATTGTCTTCAAACGCGGATAACGAAAAGAAAAGCCTGTGGGCATCTGCCTTTTTTCATGTAATACTCTTTAACATGTCAAATGGATCGGTGACAACCACTAGAAGGAAAAATGACTGGGAAGACTAAACACATCTCTCTTTTGATTATGTAATTTCATCTTTCTTCAATTCGAATTCCTCTTTTGAACGATGATATTGAAACAACTTTCAAAATTAAATTCCAGTTTAAGCTGGTATAATCATAAATAACGCCACACACTGCTTCACTGTAAGGTTCAATCCTTATCCGATTTACGCAATACTGAACTTACAAGCACGCACTTGTCAAAGGACCCAAATCTGCATCAGTCAGGTCGCATGGAGCAAAGGCAGGAAGAAATAAGGTAATTTTAAGACATCATTAAGGAACAAATTGTGTTTCCTCAACTATTTAAACAGCAAACTCCAATAAGCCGGAAGACGGATTCAGCAGCTAAAAGGTGATAACAATAGTATTAGTAACTGTAAAACTTGACTTTAAAAATAAGTGAAAACTCTCTCTCTCTCTCTCTCTCTCATGTTCATCATAATACTCTTTCTAGCTTTTAAATTTTTCAGAAAACGGTCTCAGGTTACACCTCTATGTAGCAGTAACTCTCAATCCTCACCATACAGATGGAAATAAGAATTGAGTTTACGGAACTCCAGATTCCTTCGTCAGAAGCATTTTCTTAAACCCCGCTCTTGGTGCAACTCGAAAGCCATCTCCTGCGGTTCAAAAAACCATAAACCGTCTCATATTTTGGATGTTCCTTCAATTTGGTGGTTCCAATAATTGAAATCGTAAGAGTAGCTACTCACCTTTTTCCTCACAAAATTGGGATCAAGCGCTTGAGGAAGCACCTGAGAGCGCAGTCACTTTTCCAACAGCAATTGTTTTCCCTGTAGTGACCCCAAATAGATTTGTAAACCATGCACATAAATTAAGATGCTAAGATGAGTGATCATATTCTGCACTGCATTTGACATAGTCTCGGCAATCTTTACCTTCAGTTCGTAGAGTGAACCTTCCAAGTTGTGGGAAATCTGAGAACTTTTCAACACAGATTGAATTGCTAACCTGCAGAGATGCAGTAACGGATAGTAGAGATTAGGATTAGAAAGACTAATCTCGTCTGGATTCTCCCAATGTTTCTAACACCGGTATCAGTTTTTACAATCCATCAACCGGAAAACGACGGAAAACATTTTATCACTCTTGACAAGTAGCACACAAACACATCCAAAACAGGTATGAACACCAATACATTGTACCAAGCTCAAATGAAATGAAGTGATATTTCATACTTTTTCTTAGACTGGCATAGGAACATATGGCTATAAATAAAATATTGATGGAAAGAAAGGCAACAGAAAGAGTCCAGACCTGTATACGGCAGACAACAGCAGCACCATTCTTCACAAACAGAATTTTCTTTTTCATGGGTTTCCTCGTCTTCATATCAATTTGGCTTATCAATTCAATTATCTCACATTCCTCAACAACCGCATGAATGTGGAGAATAGCCTTGTAACCAGCTGTAAAAATAGCCTACAGGAGCAGAAAATAATGATGACTCAAGGTATTAAGATTCCGAATATATTGTAAGACAGTAACACCATTAAGAACTGCATAAACTCAAAAGTTGACATTCCATAAGAAACATGTGCTTACATTGTCAAGCAGCTCAAGGATTTGTAGTTGGGCAACGAACTCAGTAACGGCAGGTACAGGCTTTACTGCAAAAGAAAACAAAGAAAAACTACAAATTAGTACCACTACAAAAAGCGACGACTATGATTCGGCTTATCAACAAAAACCACGTTAAAAAGCATCACTCACCCGTGCTGGATAAAACAAAACCTGCAAGGATATCCTCGTCTTCAATGCCAGTTATACGAACTCTCAAATTCTCGCCCGGTCCAGCACGCTTAACTTTATCTTCATCGCAATATATAGCAACAACTTTCACGTGTTCCTACATTGGTAGATGATAGTATGAGCTGGCAATTATATATAACTATGCGAGAGAAGACAATTGGAAAGTACCTTATTTGGCATAACAATCAAGGAATCACCCTCCCGGATGCTGCCAGATTCTACCTTTCCCATGACAACAGTTCCCATGTCTTTGAATTTATCAATAATGGGCATCCTATAAAATTCATAATATCAATAAGGGTTAACAGTCAAAAACATACAAAGATAAGTCTACAGACAATTAATCTCATTTCAACTAAAAGAATGAGAAAGAAACTATAGAAGACATTTCATACTATGTGGTGCAGAAAACGGTGCGGAAAACGATGCATATGGACGATATGGTCAAAAAGCAATATGGATTAACGGGATTTCATGATTGCATCAACTAGTATTTTAAAAAAGCACACACCCGAATGAAAAAGAATAAGAGAAGCGGTATTGAGGTTTCACCTGAATGGACCATTAGGATCCCGTGGCGGAACTTCAATACAATTGAGGACTTCAAAAAAGCTGGGGCCACTGAACCAAGGACAAACTTTTGGATCCATCTTCTTGTCTATATTAATCCCCATTAGACCAGATATGGGCAGGAAGACAACATCTTCAAAACAAAAGAGTAAAAAAACAAATTAATCATGCAATTAGACCATAGCTCATCTGTAACGTTTACTGTTCACTGCGTACCTTTCTTTGTGTTGTAGCCCGAGGATTTTAGAAACGGCACCATTTTTTGTTCTATTTCATTGTACCTGCATAAGAGTACATAAATACGAAGATGAACAGAAAGAGATTTGAAAATCAACAGTGCCAGGGATTAGAAAGGTAGAAAAGCTTTTTCAGTACCTCTCTTTCGACCAGTTAACAGTTGGGTCATCCATCTTGTTCACAACAACCACCAGCTTTGACACGCCCAATGTTTTTGCAAGTTGAACATGCTCACGTGTCTGCCCACCCCTCTCATATCCTGTTTCAAATTCCCCTTTACGAGCCGATATCACCTACAACCGACGAAGGTATGGAAATTAATAGGTTTCCAACAAAAGGCAAATGATACAAAACGGAATCAGAACAAATTGACATAGTAATGACGAACCAGCACACCAATGTCCGCCTGAGATGCTCCACTAATCATATTAGGTACATAACTCTTGTGACCCTGCAAGTTCAGAAAAGGAAAAGAGAATGGGAAAAATATACTTGACATGAAAAACAAATGAACAAAAAACTAGTACTTTAGGTTGATCCTTACCGGAGCATCCAGAATTGTAAATCTGGTGGTCTCAGTTTCAAAATGAGCCCTTCCAACTTCAACAGTTTTACCCTGTCAATGTAGCATGTAAGCCATACCACATAGCAAAGTTCAGAATTCAACATAAACATTGCTGGGAATACTACAGACACATAAATTCTGTCATCTCTGCCACATTTAGCAAACAAAGGAACATAAATCAAACCCAGGAAGTACCTTAGCCCTCTCTTCTTCATTTGTATCCATTATATATGCCATATACCTAGAATAGAGGATAATAGCAAGTTTATGAAAACAGTAATTAGCACATAAGCATCCTTATCAGTCAGGATTAGAAATGCTTACCAGCTTTCTCTACTTTTCTCTTTTGCTTCCTTTTCATACTTTTGGATTTGCCGGTCGTCCACCTGACCGCTAAGGAAGAGGATTTGTCCTCCAATTGTAGACTTCCCAGCATCTACAATGGTAAGAGTAGCCAAGATAGTATTAAATCAACTAGTTATGAAACCAGGTGTCTACACAAGGCAGCTTTCTTACGACCTAAATTGTAACAGATTTTCCAGAAACTACAGAAGAATTATCTATTAAGAAAACTGAATTGACGGGAAAAAGCATAACGTAGATGGCCATACCAACATGTCCAATGAACACCACATTCAAGTGTCTCTTTTTGTTTGCCTCTGCCTCTTCTTCAGCTTCCTCTTTGGCTGCCTTCTCTTGGGCTGCCTTCTCTTTTGCTAAATTGATTTTAAAAAATGAGAGATTAACAAGTCTTCAACCAGACAACACGATTACAGAAAGATGAGAAACGAATAGTATAAGAGATATAAGAACCTTTCGCTGGGTTATGCACTGGATGGAGAACTTCCTGATCATGATCCTCGGAAGCTGAAACCACCAATGTCCAGGAAAAGAAAAAAAAACGTCACCAACGAGGTATACCTCAAATAAATTTAACTACCTTTTAGGGAAATTAAAATAAAAAGAAAGGAACATAAAAGATCTATCAACCTTGTTGCAAATCAGGGACTGGCGCTGATTCTTGAACCTCATCTTTCAAGTCTGTAAAGCAAGGATAAATACCTAGTATTAGAATTAGTATTCAATCTCATGACAGCCTAAACGTTGCACCCTCCCTCAACCACAAGCTAATATCATACATATGTAACAGACACAGTAAAACAATAGGATTAAACCGAACCCACAGATGGCCAAATTCAAACAATGTAACAGCGAAAATATAAACATATAAGTGTCATGCAACACTGAACCTTCTTCCATTTTATCCAATATCTCAACTCCATCAGTGTTCTGATCTGCCGGAATGACAACTCCAACTCCATTGTTTTCTTCTGCATATTTCAACACCAACGTTTAGCACCAATGCAACTAAGAAAAGAGAATGTTAAGCCTATCATCTCCAAGGAGTTACCTGCGGAATCAAGCTGTAATGCGCGGATATCTTCCTCAATATCTACATAATTTGACAAAAGATATAAGATGGAAGGTAATGTTAACAAATAAGAGACAGAATAACTCATAATTGGCACCCTATGAACATGTTGCAAACTTGTGAACTCAACGGTTAAACGAGACAAGTAACAAACAATCAGCTTCTACATAAAAGGAAGACTACTCGTGACTCAAGGTTAGATCAATTAACAGAAACACCCCCACAAACAACTACTCGATCACCAAAAATAACAAACTGGTGTACGCGAAAAGGGAAAGTCAATCAGGTCAAAAAAGTTCCCATATACAGTAAGCCATAACATAATCCGAACCCTAATTGCTACAAACCTAAATAGATCCGCAAAACACCAGATAGCATAATAAATCAACAAATCTCAGTTCTAAACAGCACATTAAAGTCAATCCAGTGATTCAAAACCCTAAATCCGAATACTAATTCTCACGCCGAAGTTTCTACCACCCGAGCAACGAAACCATCGGCTCGAAAATCGATGTTAGATACAAGCACACACACATAATAGAGAGAGAAGGTCAGATCGAGTAAGAACGATAGTCGGAATAGGAAAAAGTCACAGAGATAAACGGAGCTTGAGAAACCCTACCCATGGCGGATGATGGTGGAATAGAAGGAGAGGAAAGGTATTCTAGGTTTTATTAAGAGGCTGTAAACTTCGCCCAGGTGGAAGTTATATATATTCCGTCGCTGTTTCCTACCTTTTTCTAGTTTTCAGAAAATGGTATAAAGACTTACGTAATGAAATTAAATTTCTTTATCATCCGAAGCTTCTAGTTTTAAGCCACGTCGTCAAAATAAAATAAGCCCATTAAGGATGGCCCGTTCACTTTATAGCCCATTATTCGATGGCTTGTCTTTCTTATATGCATCTCTAATGAATTTAGCCTAGACATTTGGTCAAGTTCTTAGGCATTGGGTCAGGTCTTGATTATATATGATTAGCATCAAATTAGTCAACCACATATACCATTTGTAAACAATGTTAGAAATTGACAAAGAGTTAAATATGTAAATTCCAAGTAGTATATTAAAAAAATAGAAAAATATGATTATTGTTCTTCTAATTAGATCTGTGTACCATTCAGTCAACTTGTGCAATGAGATTTCTAATGAAAGCAAATCAGAAAATGAAAATGTTACTTCAAGTGCATCTTCCACACAAACATGGGCCAGAAAACATAAAAGCCCATTTATATTAGACTCACTTTTATATCTCATCACACAAGGCCCAAGTAAAGTAAACCCTAATCCACTCTGTATCTCTCATATAAATACCATCTTCTCTTATTTTCACGCCATTTCTTACGTATCTGCGCCACCACTGAACAAACCGATAACCCTAAGCTTCACAACCTCACCAACAATGGCGGAAGGACTCGTCTTGAAAGGCACGATGCGTGCACACACCGACATGGTCACCGCAATCGCCACACCCATCGACAACTCCGACACCATCGTCTCCTCCTCCCGCGACAAATCCATCATCGTCTGGAAACTCACCAAAGACGACAAATCCTACGGCGTCGCCCAGCGCCGCCTCACCGGCCACTCCCACTTCGTCGAGGACGTCGTCCTCTCCTCCGACGGCCAGTTCGCGCTCTCCGGAAGCTGGGACGGCGAGCTCCGTCTCTGGGACCTCGCCGCGGGAGTCTCCACTCGTCGTTTCGTGGGACACACGAAAGACGTCCTCTCGGTGGCATTCTCCCTCGATAACCGTCAGATCGTTTCCGCCTCTCGTGACCGTACGATCAAGCTGTGGAACACTCTGGGGGAGTGTAAGTACACTATCGCGGAGGGAGGCGGTGAGGGGCATAGGGATTGGGTTAGTTGCGTTAGGTTTAGTCCCAACACGTTGCAGCCGACGATTGTGTCGGCGTCGTGGGATAAGACAGTGAAGGTTTGGAACTTGTCGAATTGTAAGCTTAGGTCGACGCTTGCGGGGCATGGTGGGTATGTTAACACTGTGGCGGTTTCGCCTGATGGGTCTTTGTGTGCGAGTGGAGGGAAAGATGGGGTTGTTTTGCTTTGGGATTTGGCTGAGGGGAAGAAGCTTTACTCGCTTGAGGCGAACTCTGTGATTCACGCGCTTTGCTTTAGTCCTAATAGGTATTGGCTTTGTGCGGCGACGGAGCAGGGGATTAAGATTTGGGATCTTGAGAGTAAGAGTGTTGTTGAGGATTTGAAGGTTGATCTTAAGGCTGAGGCGGAGAAGTCTGATGGAAGTGGTACTGCTGCCACCAAAAGGAAGGTATGTAATACACTTAGTAGCTTCTTGTTTGATTATATGTTTGCCTTGGATTGCAAGTTTTCTGCTTTTGTATAGATACTTTGATGTTTTAGCTAAAATCTATGGTTAAGTATGTTTGTTCCTAGAGAATAGGACTATAAGCCTATTCTAGATGTGTTGTAGGAAGTTGTTTATTTAATGGATTGATGTATTGAAATATAAACAAATGATCATTTATATGGTTTATTGAAATGTGAACAAATGTAAATTTGTGATTTTTTAATAAGACTATTAAACGTGACTTATTTTTTTGTAGAAACTACATCTCCTAGTGTTTTAATCACTGAATGGAATTTGTTTGTTGATTTGTGGATAGGTTATTTACTGCACCAGCCTGAACTGGAGTGCGGATGGAAGCACTTTGTTCAGTGGTTACACCGATGGAGTCATCAGAGTTTGGGGAATTGGCCGTTACTAGTTTATCTTATCTCTTCGATGTTTTTCTTTCTTGGTTGCGGCTTTTATCTATCACTCTTTTGTTTTGTCAGCAAACTCATCAGTTCCATCATAAAGTACTCTGAAGGATGTTTTGTTTTATCTCAATTTAGGTTCGGATCTTTACTTGTTTGTGAGATTTTTCCATTCCAAGTTACTTCCTTTTTGCTAATCTGATTCCCATTGTCATTGAGAGTCTGGCATAATGGTCGAATAGAGTAATCACACTCTTGAATTTGTATTATTTACACTTGAAAATGAAATTATAGTAACAAGCCCACTTCTCAAATAATTATACAAGAAACTGCAATTTTGTCACTCTAATAACCTTCTTCGCCATGTATCATATGGTTATCCGGACAAGTAATCGATCACTAATTCCGATATCAATATAGATCTTTCCTTTGGGACCAACGGCGAAGCAATGGAATTTTCTTTTTCACCAAACTCTAAAGAAATTTCATGTTTCGGATGAACAAAAAGGTTACAGTAATTTTTTTCGAATTTTATGATTCTATATTCAAACAAGACTCTGAGAAGAACAGAGATAAGGAAAAATCCGAGTCCACATGAGAAGATAAAGTTGAAATTCAAGTTCATGTGAATATAACTACAAAAACAGTCCATGGAGCAAAACCTAGAGCCAAGAGTTTCGAAGTGAACGCAAGCTGTAGAGGTTCAGAGAAAAAAAGGAATGCTAAGATAAACAATAAAAGCAGTACTGTGTTAGATTTTCTTTCATCGGTTGTTTTGGTTTGATTTTATGTGTAATCTCTTATCTGCCTCTTTGTTAATGTATAATATAGTATATGATTCATATACAAAAAGATCACACCAACGAAAACCATATATTAACACCCAAGCAACTTTATGTAACACAAAAACACAAACATATTTGTATAATTATATATGAAACTATACATATATAGCGAGAACCGGAATAATATAAAATATGGTTTAACATATAAAAACCACATTTCTTTCCAGTCCGGCTTTTATGTAACACCCCTGAAAAGGCTCTCGTCGTTATTCTTTAGTTTTTTTTATTGGAATCAACGTCTGCGTGAAGCTGGCTCTTTTTGGGCATTGAAGTAAACTGTTGCCACTGGTAAACCAAGATCGAGATGGCCAGCAAACATTCGGGTGCTGAAATTCGCTCGAGAAGGCGGCAGCTGCACCATCGGACCCATCGGTGAGTTCTGCCGGAAAAGTACAAATATGTAACGGTGAATCCCCACCGGTGGTCTCGGTTCCATATATGGCAGTATCTCCTTTCCTGAAAAATAATTATACATGCAAGCAGAAATATTGATTTAAACGTTTATCGTGATACTTAAAATGAAAATTAGATAGTGGCTATTCTATGCCTAACTTGTAACTAATTCTAGGCTAATGCTAAATGTGTATATATTATGCAATTGCAACCTATCACATATGCATGTGAGAGTCTCCGCATATTCGTTTTTGAACTGTCACTATCTTGCCACAGTATCTTGCAATACGGAAATCTATTTCATATCAAACCGAAAGCACCACGTCGCAAAGATAATATGTTTAAATGAATAAAGAGATTAGTGTATCCTTTTTCCAGTTTGATATAAATATGTCATCATGGTTCATGGACATAATTAACCATTATTACATGTTTCTTAGTGACTTTCACACTAATGTCACTTTATTTATAAGCAAGATAACTAAAATATGATGCAAGTCACATTCATTGTTGTAAGAAAAGTATTGCAAAAAGAATACCGAATGCTCCGTATTAAGTTAAGCAAAGATTCATAAAATAGTCCAAATAAATAAATGTTTTTGACTCTCTTTTCCATACCTTTTGATGGGTTAGTGCCTCCGGGGATATCCACGACAATCCTGAAACATAAGAAATAGTTTTTTTTTTTTTTTTTTGACTCAAACATCAACTTTTCATTAACCATAAGAAATAGTTAAGTGTATTATGTTTGTTTATACGCTATATTTATTTGGTAAATATAATTACTAGATAGAAATTAAAAGAAAAACTCTATGTTAATGCATGAGTGCGTCAAGCGTACGCACCAATGGACCCATTCTCTCATGTTGGGCTCGCTCGGGCTAGGTGCGTCCGGGTCAGTCATCACCTGCATGCATCCATTATTTGCATTTATAAAAGGCCAATAATATTTTTTATTAACTCATGCATACAAAAAAATGTTAATATTATAGTAATCCAATATTCAGCTAAACCGTGCCTAACTCAAAAAAAAATTACGAACTGAAAACTCAGTGAATATACCAGCACATATTAAATAATGTATGCATGTTCCTGTGGGCTGGTATAATCATGATAGTAAACAATGAAACATGTAACGCATGCGTGCGTATATTCAAAGCTATGTTTGCAAGGGAGTTTGCACAGAAATGGAAACAAGTTATAAAGATGAAGAAATATACGAGGGTGTAAAGCTCGTCAGAGTTGCCGGAGATGTTGACTTTGGGAGGGTTGACTGCGGCGGAGGGTTTGATCTCGCAGCCGTTAGTGATGTGTTTGGGGCCAAAGTAGACAGACATGTTGGCAGTGGGGATGTACATGTCCAACACATCTCCGATCACTCTTCCAACCACCAAAGGATCAACGGAAGCTGCCATAGATCCACTGAAAGAGAGAGAAAGAGAGAAGTAGAGATTCTTTTATTTATAGAAGAAGAATCGTTGAACGCATGTCCTAACTCGGATGGACATCTATGTCTGGTTTATATATAGATAAATTTTCTCACAACAAAAAAATATATTTAAAACCCATCGACAAATACAATGAATTTGGACAATGATGCAGTCCATTTTATTTCATATTTTTCGCGGTAAAATTAAATATTACACTTCAACTGTTCTTTTTTTTTTGTGTTTGCGTTATATATGTGAAAAAATCTTGTATTTATTTACATTTTTTCATAAATATCTGTTGAGACATCCAGCACTAAAACATTAATTATATATATTTAGTCATCTAGAACTCATATATAGTTATGTATAAGGAATAAATGTTATTTTCCGATTGCTTTTCCGTATATTATCGTTGGTAGCTTGTTAGTATTCTTATACTATTAATAACAAAAATATCTCAACATAATATCATAACGCGTTAATTTGTCGTCAATGGTACACATATTACAAGACAATCCACTCGTGTCTTGTAATTCATGGTCAGGAACACATTCATCAAGAAGTTTACCATCAAAATCAATGCAATACTACCGTGAAAATAAACTCTAATAAATACTAAACCAATGTATATTATACTAAACAAATGTTGAGATGCTATCATGCTAAGTAAGTACATATGCAATCTTTCATATATATTTAATCTAATGTTTGGGGAAATATTAATAATCCGGTTCTCACTTAGTTACAAGCGAAAGAAGAAACAAAAAGGAAAAGGTTAAAAGAAACTTTGGATTAGTGTAACCTATAGGCCATGCACAGGCCATTTCACACTTCTTTTCATCCACAAATATGACACGTGCCGTATCTTGGTCTCAGCTGTTACCCACGATCCCTTTTGTTCGACCTGCCACGTGACATCAATTTTCCCGTCAGTTACGAGGATCACCCCTTGTACGTGTTGACAATCCTTGTGGTACTCATTGGTAAACTAATTTCTACTGGTGGTAACTCGTAGTGCATGTCACACAAGGAAAACCAACTGCTTGTAATCTAATACTAGGGCTGTAAAGGATGTAGGTACAAAATGCAACTCTGTGAAACCTACTCCTCGTTTGATTTCTGATAAAGAAAGCATAAAGAAACTTTTTTCATTTTCTTAACAATTTTATTTTCAATTTTTTGTCTAGCCAGTTGAAATGACCTTAGACCATAATTAACCTGAAGTTTTTATGATGGGGTTCTTAGTGTTTTAATTCATATTCGAAACTACGCTAGGCGCTAGTCGGGCGGTTACCCCATAAATAATAGAATTGTTCTCAGTAAATATGTTAATAATCTACTATATATATATATCTATAAAATGCATCATATATATGTAAAGAGGTACTCAGACATCAGCCTCTCCACAGTCAGATTCTATTGAAGTTTTCAGTTTGGATGTGTCATAACTCATATCCCATCCTAGATATAATAATGTTTTTTTATTATTTTATCAACAATATACTGTTTTGAGGAGCCAAAACATTGTTGGTTCTGACTAATATTCAACATAAGAACAAAAAAAAAGTGGAAAGCAAGAGAGTATATAACTTTCAATCTTCATAGGAAATGATACGCAAACCTTTCGCATCGAATAGTTAGGAGGATCACACTAACACGCGACGTTAGTTTGCTCTTTTCTAAAGACTAATTAAAGGTGTAGAATATACTAATCTCTTAACTTAAAACATCAATCACTTAGTTTAAAAAAAACTAGTAAAGGATTATTTTCTTCTCCATCATCTCTCAAGCAACTAACTAACAAATAATTATGGCAGGCAACTGTATTTCTGTCAGTCTTCTAGGGGTGTTATTGGTACTAATCAGCATCTTCTATAATCCTCTAGTCGTGGCTGCGATCCGGGGCGAGGGCATTCCGGCGGTAGGACTGTTTACATTCGGAGACTCATACTTTGACGCTGGAAACAAAATGTTTTTCAGCAAAAAACAAAATCTTCCCCAAAGCTATTGGCCGTATGGAAAATCACGTGATGACCCCAACGGCAAATTTTCTGACGGTCATATCGTCCCTGACTTTATTGGTACGTTACCAGCATACTTGTGTATATTCCTATACTAGGGTCGGCCCGCCCTACGGGCGGGAATTTATAATAAATTCTATTTTATATGAATTACATTGATTTTGTAAAACTTTTTAAAACATTATATAGAAAATAATATTATAAATAAATAAATAATGAATAAAATTCAGAAATCATGTTGTTACTTTTAATTAGGCCTACTTTTAATAATCATTTTTGGTTTGAATTAAAGTGACATTATCTTCTTTATTCTCTATTTTCATCGAATATACAATTAGCAAATTAATTTAGAAAATGTAATAATATATATCTTGTTATTATTTTATTTCAGTTTGACATGATAATAGAAAATATAAAGTTTAAATAAATATTACTGTTTTAATTATTGTTGTATTTAATTCAAGAAGTTTCATGTTTTGTTTTAAAAATTAAATAAATTAGTCGAACTCCAAACTAAATTGGTTAAAACATAAAAATGATAAAATAATTACATGTCAGTTGTAAAATAATATATAAATAATTTAATAGGATCATAAATGATATTTTATTTGTTTCAAATCATAATTATATACGGAATGAAATATACTAAACAATAAAAGAACTAAATGTAATGAATCATAAACAATTTGGAAAATCAAGATGAACTAAGCCCTTTCTCAAAAACAAAAAATCAAGATGAACTCAACCACATATAGATGTTCTTTTATATTCATTTCCTGAAGAATTAACTCTGTTCTGTAACTTTTAGTGTTGGCTGTATTTAACAGAAGCTTTTTTTTTTGTCGTGTATTTAACAAAAGCTTATAATTCATATTTCCTCAAATATCTCCTTTTCATAATTAAATAGAAAAATCAAAGAATATGTTAACTTTTTATTACCACCCACAGAGCAAGATGTATAGAAGAATATTTTCACTCCAAATATCGATCTCCTTTCTGTAGTTTTGTCTTGATATTTTATGAGCAACATATTAAACACTTTCGACTACTTTTTCTTTAAACATATGAACACACACATTTTCAATTAAAATGGCATAACTCGACAACAGTGTATGAGGGAGACAATTATTCACACTAAAACTCCCATAGCCTATATTTGAAGCTTCCAATTATATTCCAAAAGTTTGAAAAGAAATAGTTTCAAGATTGAAAAAGCTTGAGCTTGACCCGAGTTTCATAACATTGAGTTTCATAACATTTCCGAAAAAATGGATTAATGATTCTCTTTGGATTTCACAATGGCGACTACAAATGTTATTTCCTCCAAACTCAACTACTCATGTTCTTTACTTGGATATTATCATACAGTAATCACCATTGTAGACGTAAATTTGGTTGTGTTTTTAGGTTAGAATAGAGTCAAAACCTTGAATATTATCCCTTTTGAATTGTTTGACTCTCTGCGTAGACACGAACATGTGCCTGAGATGATATGCACAAAACATAGTGAGTTGCATAATGTGTTAGTTTTTTTAGTGAAGTTTGTATATCCTTAAAAGTTAGAAAACAAAGAAATGTAGAGCCACTAATTGATTCGGCTTTGGGTCTCTTTTTTATTATCCTAACGCTTGCCTTGCTTTATTCATTGACAATATTGTCATGTAAGGGAGCTTAAAAAAAAACTTAGGTCTCCAAAGGTTAAAGCTAATGCGACTTAATATTGTTATCTCCTCTAGACCATATAGTGGCAAAACTTTTCAATCACTAAGTATCAGTGGAAAGAATCGTAGGGTACAAAAGAATTTAACAGTTCAAAAACAAAAGAAAGCTCTTACTTGATCAGCTGGTTCGAGTCTTGTAATAGTTCTCACCGTAAATTTCTTGTAACCCTCATTCAATTTTTCATAGACTTCACATTTATGCACAAAGTTTAACACTTTTGAATCAGACCATGTGAATCTACAATAAGGACCAAGATGAAGAACATTACATATCCTGAGATAGTCTCAGAGGTGGTTTTCACTTTAGACTTAAACATCATGTGCAAAGCATAAGCTATATCCAAACTCAACCATCCTTTCTTTGTAGATAATCTCAGATACGGTCATTTTGTACGTTATATTTTATATGGGTATGTGATCAAATATACTTTTTTATTTGTTTTGACTTTTGAGTTGAAATGAAAACGGTGAAACCTTGGAGAAGAGCACCGTCGCCTAACTCACCATTGATGCACCATCAAAACCTCTATTCTTAACTTATTCCACAAAGATTGATGCAAAGACAATCACAACTTTTGTCTTAAATTTTTGACTCCTCCAGTTACTGATGATCTGTCCCAATCTCTTCTCCCTCTAATTCTTCCTCCAAACTACTTCTCCTGTTTTTTCATCGATCGGTTAATCAAAGTTTCAATTTATATAAGCACATCGAAGATAAATCTTTATGACTCTACAAACTCCGCCACCAAATAAAAGTTAACTGAAGATCAGTTCAAGTGACACAAAAAGAGTTTTTCAAAGTCGCCAAATCTTAACAACTCTCTTGTGTTTACAGAAAGGCGACAACTTTAGATTCGTGTGTTACTAAATGTTGTGATTGGTAAATGCAAAGAGATCTAAAATAACAGAGTGAGAGTGATTATGCTGACATGATGAACATTATATGGCTGAAGATGAAGCCTAAACACTTAACTGATATCATAGAGTGACTTCTCATTCTCTTTCTAGCACCCGTCGACTCTGGATTTGCTTCGCTCCCGACCAAGCGTTTCCAAATAGGCGTCCATGAGCGAGAAAATCTTCCTGCACATTAAGCGGCCTCCCTAAGGAGACTTTGCTTACATCGCCAGATTACAAATCAGGTAGGGAAATTTGGGATGTTGCATGGATGTTTACGACGATTTTTAAAAAAAAACTAATAGTTTAGGCGTTTGTAGCGATTGAGATTTCTGATTTCGACATAAATATTTATAGGAGATAAATTTTGAAATTTGTAAGATGGGAGAGGATAATTCAATGAGACTTGGTGGGAGAGGAGGGATGGAGGCTGTAAATGAGAATTTGATCAGATTGTACAATTATTTACAGAATACGTTACGAAGTTTCTTTTGGAAGTTGGGGATTGTAAGGGACTAAGGGTTGCGAAAGGAAGAAGACGCTGTAGGAACAAAGATATGGTTTGTGGGCTATTGTTAATAGAAGCTGAGCCCATCAGATTTCGGTGGAAAATAAAGTGATGCGTTTTGTGATACGTGACACGTGTAAGTGCGAGAGAGCTTGATTTTGTGACGTGTCCTTATCTTGAGTGAGTAAACTCTTCTTTATAATATAAGATTATACGTTCTTTTTCAACTTATGTACCGTTTTCCTTTTTAAATCTGTATACATACATAACTTTGCTTTAATTGATCCATATTCATTGATCAAAATTCGATTCTGCTATGTATTTGTTCTGAAAAAAAAAAAATATATATATATATATGGGGAGTCCACAAAATTTCGGAGATTACGTAAAACAATTAGTAAGAACATGATTAACTCTGGAATTGAAATTTTAGTCAGAATTTTTAATTTATGACTTAATATTTTTATTTTTTTTACATATTTTGACTAAGAGACAATTCTTATTCTCTAATTTAAGAGTCGATTCTTAGTTTATCTTACATAGAATCTACGAAAAGCTAAGAAATTGTCTTTTAGCTAAATTTAAGATCATGATTAACTCCAGTCTCTTAACTGAGATTTTTAATTTCGGTTAAATGCCGTTTTTTAGTTTTTCTTAATTTAAACTAAGAAAAACTAAGGACCATCACTTAAATAAAAAATATAAAAATCATCTCTTAATCGAAAAATGTAAAAACAAAAAAATATCAAATCATGAGCTGAAAACTCTGGCCAAGAGACCGGAGTTAATCATCTAGTTAATAATCATGGTCTAAAACAACACAAGAAATCTTACATACTATATACTATATACAGTAGAAATACATAATGACGTAAATGATTTACAAGGAAGTGAAATCAGATGTTAAAAGACATAATATAGTAGTTTGATTATTAGAAAATGATGATAATCAACTCTTCTTTTTGCAACATTAAAATATATAACTAATCATGCATGGTGGAGGGATCATATAGCTGAATTTATGGGCATTACGAAAGAGATCCCACCGGTGTTTAAACCAGGCGTTGACGTATCACGTGGAGTTAGCTTTGCCGTCGCCGATGCTTCTATTCTTGGTTCTCCGGCTGAATCCGTAAGACCTTCATCACTTAATATTTTTAATAAAAAAAGTATTACCATATATAATAATTCCACATACATAAATTTGTAGATTACACTAAATCAACAAGTGGCTCAATTCAGAAGTATAAAATCAAAATGGACCGACGATTTCATCGGAAAGTCGCTGTTTATGATCTACATTGGTACCGAGGACTACTTAAACTTCACCAAGAACAAACTTAACGTAGACATTTCTGCACAAGAAGCTTTTGTCACTTCCGTTGTTGCCAAATTCAAGAACGACTTAAGTGTAAGTTGTTAATAAATATGATAGTTAACATGTTACATTGATGTATACTATATGCTTTAATTTATGCATACATGATACATTAACAGTTTGAATTAATTTGCAGTTGTTATACTCTCTAAACGCGACTAAATTCGCGATTCAACTGTTAGCACCATTGGGTTGCTTACCAATCTCAAGGCAAGAATACAAGACAGGCAACGAGTGTTACGAGCCACTCAACGATTTAGCTAAACAACACAACGAGAAGATTGGTCTGATTATGAACGATCTCGCTAAAAAACATCCCGGTTTACATTTCACAGTCTTCGATTTCTATAACGCAGTTCTTCGACGGACACGTAGGAATCTTAGCTATAGTAAGTCATAAATCGCATTTACATGTCCCATGTAAAATTAAAATAATGTGGTATATATAATTAAAGCAGGGTTTTACGTGTCAAACACGTCATGTTGCGGTGTGGGGACGCACGACGCGTACGGTTGTGGTATGGGAAACGTGAGGTCGAAGCTATGTGAGTACCAAAGGGCTTACTTCTTCTTTGATGGACGTCACAATACAGAGAAGGCACAAGAGAAGTTTGCTCATCTCTTCTTTGGAGCGGACACTAATGTAGTTCAGCCGATGACACTTCGTGAGCTCATTGTGTATCCTTTTAACGAGCCTATGCGTGAGTTTTGGAAGCCCTCTATCACCACAAATGCTACTTGAAAACAACTAGTATTTTTCTAATATTTGTTTTCTGTTCATTAATTTTCTTGTAACTTCCCGAGTTGTAATATATGTAAATGTTTAAAAAAATTGATTTAGCTATCTATGTCACTAAAGTTGATTTATTTTTTCTGTTACAAATCCGTTTAGAAATCTATGGTTAAGCGTGTTTGGACTAGACTAGTAAATGAATGAATAACTTATCAGAAAATGATTTGCAATATTGTACGAGTGAGGTCAAAACACGTATCGTGACCTACAGGTTGAGAGAGCAGATGTGGAATGTTCATTAGCCATAAATGGTTGGAGTGTTATTTTCATTTACAAATATATAAAGAACATGCATCTCTAATATATGCCCTTTAGGGATAAACTCAAAGGATACACAATGTTCTCAGTATATTTTAAACTGAAGCAAATTGAATCGGTAGAAAGAACTTGAAAGATCAGTTTATATTAAAGAAAAATTAACAAAAAGAAAAAAAATACATGGAGATGGATGTTCTTATTTAAAGTTCTCATTCACAACCCCCAAACTATTAAATACAACAATTCAAACCCAACCACGAAGATAGCTGTGGTAGAAGGGAAAAGAAAATGGAGAATAACAATTTTTAAGAATCATTGAAGAGTAGAAACTCTATCAGTAAGCTCTGTAACTGCTTCATCATCTGCTTCAGCTATAGTGTCCTGCGAACAGAGAGAAAAGAACAACAAGTAAGTAAACTCCATCGTCATGTTACTTTCAACATTCTCTGTTTTCTTATTTCTCTCTCTTCACTATTAACTAACCTCTTTGTCAGTTTTAGATTGGACACCGATGCATTTAGAACCGCTGATACTGGAACTCTTCATGAGGTTACGAGCACTATAACCTCCTCCATTGTCCGCTTCCTCAGATTCCAAGGTTGAAGCCACAGCAGCTGCTGCTCTACTCTCAACACCACTGCTTTCTTCTGCAGTTTCACCTTTCTGAGCAGGAACTCTCTCTCTACAACACAGAATCACATAGAATGCTTTCAGAGAAAGCAAGAGAGAAGAGAGCGAGAGAGATTCTGTGAAAGACATTACCTTGGCAAGGAAGCATGATGTCTATGAAGTGCAGTACTTCTTCCTCCACCTGCTGCTGCTCCTGGCTTACCTTGATTTTCTTCAAGATAAGCAAATTGCCTCTTGAATCTATCAACCCCACTGCGTAAACAACAAAATATTTCTTCTGTTACACAACTTTTCTTTTGTTTGAGGCTTTTTGAGCTGTTAACTAGAGCTAACCTAGGGTACATGAAGCTAAGCTGATCACCACCACGACTGTATTCCTCCAACATCTGAGGATGATATTCCAATATCTAATGCATTTTCCAAAGATAAGTGATAGTCAAAATCAATAAAGAGCAGATAAACGAAACCAATGAACGATAAGATGTGAGAAAGGCTTTTTTTTTTGTGTACCTCTCTGTAGATTAATTCTCTGACATCATCTTTTGTTAACTTCTTTCTCTCAAAATCAAACTCAAGCTTTGAAATTGGTTGTGTTGATGGTTCACGGTCTGAATTTGACAGACCACTGAAGTATGGATCAGATAGTGCCTGTAAATAAGCAAAAAAGAACAGTGAACATAAGAGTTAAGTCTGTGTAAGAAAATGGGAAACAAACCAAGAGTAACTGTCTCTCTTACATCTTCAGCAGATGCACGATCTTTAGGATCAAAGGCAAGCAGGCGTTCAAGGAGGCGGAGAGCCAAAGGATCAGCTTTAGGGAACTTATGAGAGAAAGGGACTGGCTGTTTTTTCCTCATGCTGCTAAGATACCTCCTCGCCTTTTCATTTCTAATCTGTCACATTTCAAGATTGCAAAACAAATCATTACAGAAAATGAACTCACTCTCAAATATGAACATGTTTTTTTGCAACTAGTTGAGTGACTAACCCTTGATATGGACTCAGGAGGTGGAGTGCCAAGAAAATCAGTCATAAGATCCAATTGGTGCACCACGTTCTTCCCGGGAAACAAAGGCTTGCCCAAAAGCATTTCCGCAAAAATGCAACCAACACTCCAGATGTCAATCATTGGGGTATACTACAATATGAAAAGGTTCACTTAGCATGAGAGGTAACTATAGCAGTTGGGTTCAGTGGAAAAGAATCTTACTTTGGAGAAAAACGATCCACATAGCTCAGGGGCACGATACCACCGAGTAGCTACATAATCCTACCAAAAAAATACATAAAATAAGTGAGTTCACAAACAATGAAAGAGTTAAAAGAAAATCTAATGACCAGTTTAGTTGCTTGAAAGATAACTCACAGTCCAGAATATAGCAGTGGGGGCGTCATTGAAAGAAACACGAGCGAGTCCAAAATCACATATCTTCAATTTGCAGTCAGCATTAGCTAGAATGTTCTTTGGTTTCAAATCCCTGTGAAACACATTAGCTGCAAACAGAACACTTTAGTATGTCAATAAAACTAAAAAGAGACCATAAGGGTCGAAAGAGAACTAACCTGCGTGAACATATTTAAGACCACGGAGAAGCTGGTACAAGAAAAACTGATGATGCTCAGCAGTTAAATCATCGTTGGCCTTAATCACCTGATGAAGATCAGACTCCATCAACTCAAACACAACGTAAATATCCCGAAACTCTCTGCGAGAAGGAGGTAGCATGATGTGTTTGATCTCCACAACATCAGGATGACGAAGCAAGCGTAGCAGCTTGATCTCTCTGAGAATCCTAGTAGCATCAGAGACATGCTCAAACACATCGTGGATCTTCTTGATCGCAACTCTCTCACCAGTGTGTGTGTCTAGAGCAGAAGCCACAACACCATAGCTTCCTTTACCAACGACTTCTTGAACCTCGTACCTGTTTGCTTCTCCATACTCCGTGAAGAACTCAGCTTCCTGCACACCCTGAACAATTCAATGGAAATATCAAAGACATTGTAACTTTTTGTGGAGCAAAGGTAATAACACAGAATATTAAGTTAACAAATCAAGCAAGGGCAGACAAAAGACAATAACTTAAGTCTTTAGACCAAACTGCATCTTGTTTGATCAAATATCTAGTTTCAGACGAAACACCCATTGTAACTTTTTGTGGAGCAAAGGCAATAACACAGAACATTAAGACAAAAAAAACAAGCAAGGCAGATAAAAGATAACAACTTAAGACCAAACTGCATCTAAGTTAATAAAATCTCTAGTTTCCGACAAAACAGACATTGTCACTTTTTGTGGAGCAAAGGCAATAACACAGAAAATTAAGACAACAAAACAACAATTCACTCAAATTTCTAGCAAGGGCAGACAAAAGATAATAACTTTCAGACCAAACTGCATCAAGTTAATAAATTCTCTACGTTTCCGACAAACAGTCATTGTAACTTTTTGTGGAGCAAAGGCAATAACACAGAACATTAAGACAACAAAACAACAATTCACTCAAATTTCTAGCAAGGGCAGACAAAAGATAATAACTTTCAGACCAAACTGCATCTAGTTTAATCAAATTTCTACGTTTCCGACAAAACAGTCATTGTAACTTTTTGTGGAGCAAAGGCAATAACACAGAACATTAAGACAACAAAACAACAATTCACTCAAATTTCTAGCAAGGGCAGACAAAAGATAATAACTTTCAGACCAAACTGCATCTAGTTTAATCAAATCTCTTACGACAAAACAGTCAATGTAACTTTTTGTAGAGAAAAGGCAACAACACATAACATTAAAACAACAAAACAACAATTCACTCAAATTTCTAATAAGGGCAGACAAAACTACATCAAGTTTAATCAAACCATGTCTAGATTTCCGACAAAACAGTCAATCACTTCATCACCAAACATAAATTTGAAAGAAGAATGAGAAGGGTAAGAAGAAGAAGAAAGGAACCTTCTTTTGAGGATCCATGGGTAAGTGATGACGTTTAGGAACGTTAAGAAGCTTTAAGCCAGTAAAGTCGAAATCTTCAGTAACAACAAGCTCAGCGTCACCTGATTGATGATCTCGATTAGAAAAAGTAGCAGAGGAGAGAAGAATGGGTTCGTTTTGATTATTATTGGAAGAAGAAGAAGAAGGACGCTGAAAAAGCCAACGACGAACACCGTCGACGAGATTCCCACCACCACCCATCAACCAAACCACTACTCAATTTAGAAAAAGGAAAGATAAAAAAAAAAAGATTGGTAAATTTACGATATTGGGTTTTCCAAATTTCAGCTCAGCCAAACAATTAATCGTCGTTATCACAGCATCTTTCTCGCCGCGTCCTGAGGAGAGTTGGAGACCATGTTCTTCTTCTCTCTTTTGTCTTTCCTTTTTTTCTTTCAATTATTATTATTTCTTTTTACCCTAATCGAATGATTAGAGAGAGAGTGAGAGAGGGAAGAAGGTGTGTATATTTAAAACGTCCGAATTATTCAACGACCCAGTTTGAAATTACCGGTTTTATACTAACCGGCTTCTGGTTAACGTAGTGAACTTTGTGATTCGGCCGTGTGGGCATGCATTTTTCGTAAATGGGCTTTTGTATTTGTGGGGTGCATACAAGAAGTGTGTTACAGATCACGAAATCAAGAAGAAAAAATACTTCTCATTTAATAGAGGGGAAAAAAATACTTTATGTATTTAATCCAGAGTTCTTTTTAACAAAATAAGAAATTATTTCTTATCAAACACAAATTTTAAATGTGTGTAAGTTATTAAACTTGTAATTAAATTTTTTCTTGTTGTTAGAAATATTCTAATTAATAGATTTTGGGAAAATTGTGATGATTTTAAGGTGTTTTGCCATGAAATTTTAACTAAAAAAATAAAAATTCAAATCATATGACTATAAATGAATTCAAATTTTTTTTTAAATAAAATCATAATTTTTCTAATTCATCTTAAAAACATCTAAATAATTCACTCTAAATCAGATCCAGGGATGATAAATACATTATTGATTACAAAACTCTTAGGTCAAAGGTAAATAAATCAGCTTTGTTTGCCCATCCAAACTAGTTAATCTCTTTTTTTAAAAAGGAAAATAGTTAATCTTACGGATTAAATTCACTTGACAAGGTTCAAACTACTAAATGCAACAACATAACAAACTGAACTAGCAACAAATTAAAATACTCTTAGATAAAGCGACTAAACCACCCTTTTCTTTGTTCAGAGGAGATCAAGCGGCATCGTTAGAACCGGCACTGCTTGCTTGTTCCAAAGACGTGACGATGGTATCTTCATTTTCCATCAGGAGCTGAGCAGGAGTCTGGCTTGGCCTAAGGATGCTACCGTTAAAGATGAACCTAATAGCCCTGTAGTGTAAGTTTCTCCTTTCGCAGTAAGCAAGCATTAGTTTCTTCAGATGCACATGAGTACCCATTCTGTAGATATCCATCCCTCCATCCTCTAGGTTTGTGACCCGGAGAATGACCTTCTCTTGTGGAGCTCGACACCTCTTTGATGCAAAAGAAGTCGATGAGGACCTCATCATTGAATGTTTTAGAAGAAAAGCTTTCAGAAAGTTTTTTTTTTATGTTGAGTCTTGCAATGTAAATAATTAGAAACAGAAGGTGAGAAACTGTTGAATGTTAAGAACTGTTGAGCTTAAAAGGACAATCCTCGCCTACTAAAGACTACATAGTATTGGTCCATCCATCTCTTTCTTTTGTACTAGTGTCCTTTTTCACCCTTGGTCTTGGGCTTTGACTGAAAAGTGTGCTTTTAGTCGTCCTCACTTTTGAATCTTGTACGGACTCACAAGAGACACGCAACACTGCAACCGCTTACAAACAGAACATGTGTTTCATTTTCTGTATTGGGTTTGATTATTTATACTTAAGCATATTGACTAGGCTCCCTCATTAGTGTTCCCAAACCAAAACCAACAACATATTCCCTTAAGATGTAAGGTGCATGTAGATACACAGTATAGTCTCGAATATATTACGTACATATCAATGAAACTTGTTTTTGTCATGTCTCTGCTCAGCTTATATATTAATTTCCTTATAAATTTTAGATTTGACCATTAGTCATTGTTCTTGGGTATTTAGTTTGACTCATGGTGTCATGCAATCCGTTTTTAGCACCCAGTAAAGATCTTAGTTCTCTACTCAGACTGTTCAAATTATTTCTACTACCATATTCTCACTAACTTTGCAAGCTATTTGCATAACTTCCATTTTCAAATGAAGGCATGGGAAAGCAAGAAACGAGAAAGACACTAGTATATGAGAGCTATACGAAATATATAGAACGAGACTACAAAGAATGAAGAAGGTTCAATCTTCCTTCTATATTGTTATGAAAGACACTAGTATGTGTTTTTTTTTTTTTTTTTTAAAAAGACACTAGTATATATGAAGAAGACAAATATGAACAAGGTTTTTTTTTGTACATATAATGGAAGTTAATTATTTTTAATTGTCAACGGTTTTAGAAAGCATTATTTTTCTGGAGAGGAAGAAAACTGTTTGGTGGGATAGGTGGTCCCTGGCGGCAATGACGCCTAATTTGCCAATTGGAAGGCCAGAGACTTTCTCATTTATTTTCTCTTTGGATAACAATGACGTGGCAGTAATTTGACATAATCCAGCTGGTCTATTTCAAAACTATATATATATGGCATTAATTTGGAAGATTCATTTTATTGGTGAAGAAAACCTATTGATTTAAAAAAAAAAAAAATCTCGTTTTTTTTTCAATTTTTAGTTGTCATGAGAGTATTTTAAGGCATCAATCAAAGTGGCGATCCAAGAATTGTTATAGCTTAATGACAATTTTTATTTAAATGAACTATTTTCATAAATCAAGATACGCAAAAAAGGAATTATGAATATGGAAAGCACGATCTAAAATAATTTTGCTATTTATTCTTCTAATTAAACAGATTGCATAATCACTAGTATTTCATTAAAAAAAATGAATAGATAAGTTTTTAAATGGGAAATTGCTGTTGCTCAAAAAAAAAATTACTCAATTAGCTTTGACTGGTTGTACAAAATAGAATACTAGTATTTATAGGAATTGATTCTTCCTTAGAAAACTTTGATTTATTTCTGTTTTACACCAAGAAAGAGAAATGTAAACTTTTTTGTTAGTTTTGTTTTGGCTTTCCCTAAAAGTAAAACAAAATAGTTTTATCATGCCTGTAGTAAAAATAAAATAATTTTCTTTTTACAAAACTCAGGAAAAAGAGAAGTTACTCATAATTAATTCCAGTTCTACTTGTTATTCTAATAAATAACGTATTTTTTTTGTTATAAAATCTTTTAAAAAATTCGTTTTTTTTTGTCAAAACCAATCAAAATGAGAAAAAATGTGGAATGCTTTAACATTTTTGTTTGCATGTCAAAATAGTTGCAAAAACAAAACAAAACAAAACAAAACAAAACAAAAAAGAAATGAAAAGTCTCCAGCTCAAGATCCACTTCTCTAGTAATCTATCTATCCATCTACTCCTCGTCAGTTTTTAGTTGATTTTTGTCGGACTTTAAGAGAAAGAGAAAGAGAAAGTGGCCTATCGTGGACTTTCTCTCCAATCTCAACAGAGAGAGAGAAGCAAGAGAGGATTCGTTTACTTGCTCAAAGCTCGAAACTTTCTTCTCCCTTCCTCATATTTGGCTTTGATCAGCTTTTTCAAATCCGAACAAAAAAAGGAACTACCTTTGCTCTCTCCTCTCGATTTAAAAATCTGATCTTTCTTGAGGCGTCTTGCTCGATTTGGATCCCCGATTAGGATCCGACGGAGCTCCGGATCTCCGGGTCGTGTTAGCAAGGAAATTAGGGTTTTTTAAAGTTTCTTCTTCTCCTTCTTCTCAATGGAGAAGCTTAAAGGCCGATGCTTGCTTCCCTAGCATTCTCCCGAGTATGAAGATGAACATGAAGAAGTTTCTAAAAAAGCTCCGTATCACTCCGAATCAACGCGAAGACGGAGAAGGCGGCTCAGTCTCTAACCGGAGCAACAAGTCTAGTGATGCAGAGCCGTCTCCTTCATATAGCCATGAGTTCAAACCCTTTGCTGGCTTTTCTAATTGGTTAAGCTCTGTTGCTCAGAAGAGAAGCGCAACAGCTTCTTCCAATGCTAATAATAATGGGGATGAGACGAGATTGGAACATGGTGGTGGTGGTGGTGGTGGGGCTCCTGTTGTGTCGGAGTCTGTGATGAAGGATTTGAGTTCTGGTAATTCTAAGGATCCTGAGGTTGAGGAAGAGTATCAGATACAGTTGGCTTTAGAGCTGAGTGCTAAGGAGGATCCTGAAGCTGCTCAGATTGAGGCTATTAAGCAGTTTAGCTTAGGTTCTTGTCCTCCTGCTCCTGAGAATTCTCCAGCTGAACTCATGGCGTTTAGATACTGGGTAAGGCTTTTGGCTCATTGCCAGTAATAGAAATGTTTCGAAGTTGTCATTTTTTTACTGTTAGATACAAGAAAAGCTAAGTTGATTATGCACTATAGAATACCAGTAATGTGTGTGTTATGATACAAGAATCCACCTCAAGAGACATTATATATGATTTGGAATTTCGATGCTTTTTTTTTTGGCAGCATTATAACTGTCTAGGCTATGATGACAAGATCGTGGACGGTTTCTATGACCTGCGTGGAGTGATAAATGAGTCTTCCTTAGAAAAGTTACCTCCCTTAGTTGATCTTCAGGGGACACTTGTGTCAGATGGTGTTACTTGGGAAGCTGTTCTAGTGGACAGAAGCAAAGATTCTAATCTGTTAAGACTTGAACAGATGGCTCTTGATATTGCAACGAAGTCAAAGTCAGTGTCTTCTTCAGGGTTTATGAACAGTGAATTGGTAAGGAAGCTGGCGGTTTTAGTTGGAGATTATATGGGTGGACCAGTTGTAGACCCAGATAGCACATTAAGAGCTTGGTGGAGTCTGAGCTACAGTTTGAAAGCAACCCTCTCTAGCATGGTTTTGCCTTTGGGTTCTTTAACAATTGGATTGGCTCGTCATCGCGCCTTGTTGTTCAAAGTATGTACCTTGCTCTCTCTTACTTGTGCTCTTTGTGAAAATTAGCATAAGAAGAGAATTCGTGTTTAATCTTGTGACCGTTGAAGCTTCTTACTAGTTTGGTGCATGTTCAGTTGAAATTTTGTGCCAAAGTCCATAGTTTGTATGACTTCATAAGAAGAGAATTCGTGTTTAATCTTGTGACCGTTGAAGCTTCTTACTAGTTTGGTGCATATTCAGTTGAAATTTGATGCCAAAGTCCATAGTTTGTATGACTTCATGCATATTAAAGCTTATTGCACCTCTAAAACGCAGTGTGGTGTTTTGTTTCTTCTTTCTTATGAGACTTTGTAGGTTTTGTGTGATAGTGTTGGTGTTCCTTGTCGAATAGTCAAAGGACAGCAATATACCGGTTCAGATGATGTGGCAATGAACTCCATTAAGACTGATGATGGCAGGTGACGTTCATATTAAAATACGATTCGTTATTCTATATTTAACAATTTCTCTAACGTATATGGATTTGGGTGTGTGTTATATAACTAACTCGTATCTCTCAAAGTTCAAAACTAATACAGAGGCTAGATAGAATTTTCTTGGTTTATGAAATGAAAGCATGATTAAGTGTGTTTCGTGCTTGTATTGTGGTTATTTCTGCTGCAATTGCAATATACAGTTGCAATGTATTTCCCCTAACGAATGGAATTGTTAATTTCAGGGAGTACATTGTTGATCTCATGGGAGATCCAGGCACCCTCATCCCTGCTGATGCAGCTGGACTACAAATGGACTATGACGATTCTGTCTACTCTGCTAGTCCCAGGGACGTTGATTCATCTCATGTAGCTTCTTCCAGCAGTTGGGTTGAGACCTCATTTGAAGAGCCCGCGGAATCTTGGTCAGCAGAACATCCCTCTAGGACCAAGGGTTCCTGGGAGGAAAAGCAATCTGAAGGTGTAGGGGATCTCATGATCCGTCCAAATACTTTTAAAGAAGTTGTGGGAAGCCAAAAGGCTCCACTTCAACATCTTTCCAGCAAACCTACTCATTCTTTCACTCATGCCAGATCGCCTTCTTGGACTGAAGGTGTTAGCGCTCCAGCTGGACGCAGGATGAAAGTAAAAGATGTTTCGCAATATATGATCGACGCTGCCAAAGAGAATCCACAACTAGCTCAGAAGCTTCATGATGTGTTACTTGAAAGTGGAGTTGTTGCTCCTCGAAATTTATTTTCCGAAGTTTATTCAGAATCAACGGACGCAACAGTTGAAATCAAATTTGTGTCTGAATCCAACGATGAGAAAGGAAAAGATGTTGGAACAGTTCAACAAGGAAGAATCCATAGCAATCTTGGTCCTGTGAGGTTTTTGCCTCCGCTCCCAAGACCTCAATCTAAAGCAAATACTCATGACCAACATGAAGTTTCAGGACCTGGTCTTGGTAATTTGTCTGATTCTTCACATTCTGAAACATCTACCGACTATTCCAGAAATGTTCCTGTTGCCGTAGCTGCAGCTGCTGTTGTTGCATCTTCCATGGTCGTTGCTGCCGCCAAGTCAGCAAACTCGGATTCCTCCACCTTAGAACTTTCTGTTGCAGCTGCTGCTGCAGTTGTGGCGACAGCTGCAGCAGTGGGCAGGCAGCTTGAAATAGATTCACAAAGCAATGAGGATGGTGGTTCTGGTGGGCTGTATGGGCCAAGTTCAGGAGGAGAAAGAATATCCGACAGATCAACTGGCAATGAAAGTTCAAAATCTGATGCTGCCATTGATGATGTGGCTGAATGCGAGATTTTGTGGGAGGAAATTACTGTGGCTGAGCGTATTGGACTGGGTACTGACTTATGACTATATGTATTACTGTAACTAGTTCTACCACAAATAAGAATTTTAGATTTATCTTCCTTTATGCAGGATCATACGGAGAAGTGTATAGGGGAGATTGGCATGGAACTGTGAGTAGCTCTTAATTGTCTCTGACAGCCATAGAGAAGTTGTAGTTTTTATTAATATTTCAATAACGATAAAACTCTTGATTTGGTAGGCAGTGGCCGTCAAGAAGTTCATTGACCAAGATATTACCGGAGAGGCACTGGAGGAGTTCAGAAGTGAGGTACAAGGCTTTTTCTTCTCTGGAACTTCATATGCCCTTTCAAGTTTCAAAGCTTTAACGCTAAGTGACAGATCTTGTAACATTTCATCTGAATTTAATGCAAGATCCGGATGATGAGAAGGCTCAGACACCCTAACATTGTTCTCTTCATGGGTGCTGTGACCCGTCCACCAAACCTCTCAATTGTTACAGAATTTCTTCCTAGGTATTGTCATGATCCTTTCATAATTCAATTGTTTTCATGTTATGTGATTGTCATATCTTTAATGGTAACTGTCCCTCTCCCATCCATTAATGGGCAGAGCTCAGATTCTTTTCTGTGTGTACTTTACTTGGATATTTACTTTACAGTTTTTTCACAAATTTGAAGAAAAAATTGCTTGTGCAGAGGTAGCTTGTATAGGTTAATCCACAGGCCTAATAACCAATTAGATGAGCGAAAGCGTCTGAGGATGGCTCTTGACGCTGTATTATTACTCATTTCACTTCCACTCCTTTTACCTCTAATGTCTATTTGTATCTTCTTGATTGTTTCTTACAAGAAACTTCCAACCTATGCAGGCTCGTGGAATGAATTATTTACACAGCTGTAATCCAGTGATTGTCCATCGTGATCTTAAATCTCCAAACCTTCTAGTTGACAAAAACTGGGTTGTCAAGGTCAGTGATCCTTCCTCTTCCAATTTCTTTTTCTTTCTGACCAGTATCAGTTATCATATATCTGTAGTGGCTTGCATATTTCTCAGGTGTGCGATTTTGGATTGTCTAGAATGAAACTAAGCACATACCTCTCTTCAAAGTCAACAGCAGGCACGGTAAGCTGCTTGAAGAAATTCACTAGAAACAACACGATCTCTTACTTGCCAGTACATTGATTCTTAGCTCGGTTTAATAAAGTGTTTGCTCATTTCAGGCTGAATGGATGGCTCCAGAAGTACTTAGAAACGAACCTGCGGATGAAAAGTACGGTTTTTTTAAAAGCACTTTAACCAAAGGAACATGCTTCTAGCTTTATCTTTATATCCATGATGTTCCCTTTAAAGAACCAGATCCGTCATGTGAAAAAACAGGTGTGATGTGTACAGCTATGGAGTAATTCTCTGGGAACTCTTTACGTTACAGCAACCATGGGGGAAGATGAACCCAATGCAAGTTGTTGGTGCGGTTGGGTTTCAACATCGAAGACTAGAAATCCCTGAATCTGTGGATCCTAGGATTGCAGATATCATCAGTAAATGTTGGCAGACGTAAGTGTTAATGTCACACTTTTGTTGTGGAATGGTTTATCATTTTGTGTTCTTAATGAAATTAGCTCTGGTCTGTAATGGTTATTGTCTTTTTTTTTTTTGGTTAGGGATCCAAGGTTAAGACCAAGTTTTGCAGAGATTATGACCTCTCTAAAGCAGCTACAGAAACCTATAGTGAGTCCAAACATTCAAAGAGCAACTCCCAGTTCTTCTTCAATGATCACTGAGCAGGAACAATAATAGAGTTGAAGAAGATGACTAAAGTGATCATTCCGTGCATGTTTGGTTGTGGTGTGCTGGTTTATGTGTACACACTTTCCCAATGTTTTTTTGCGTATCAAACTGTAAAAAGGAAGAAGGCAAAAAAGGAAAAAAAGAAAAGAAAAGAAAAAATTGTTTTGGTAGTGGTGAAACATTGAGAACTGAACTTGAAAGCATGTCTCTCATGTACAGAATTCAAAAGAATTCATCATTTACATTGTTGGGAACAAAAGACTCGTTTACTTACAATAGTACTTAACTGTTGTTACAATGATAAGACCTTTAAAGTGTTGGTAGAGACATTTGGAGACAAAAAAGACAAGAAAGAAACCATTGGCACTTGTGGTGGGTTCATAACACCATATAGCAAAGGATTATGACCTGATACCACTGGGAGTATATATAGATGAGATTGAAAGAGTCTCATTGCTCCTGGTTAAGTTTGTCTTGTTGAATTCTTCAGTCCGTTGTGTGTGAGAGATTATGGAGTGAATAGTATTGTAATTTACAAACTTTTTCTGTATTATTTCAAGGTATTAAATTTATACTAGAATTAATCTAAACACATAACCTAAAATGTCGAAATTCACACAGCATTATTTTACATCGATGTTATAAACAAATATCAAAAAATAAAAAGTCTGTTGATTAAATAGACATATGAATATGAATTTCAGAAGATGGACTGAGTCGTTAACAATAAATAGAAAAATAATGGAATAAGTATTCCTTGGTGATTCAGCAAACATGAGACGCGTTTCTAGAACATGGTCGTGTGTATAATATAATGTATGGTTTGCAACCACATGAAATTCACCACCACTCACATTTCTAACAGACGGCTAATTTTTTGTGATTATCTTCTTAACTGCGAGACTTCGAATTACGCTTTTTTCATTTCAGAGGAAAGGAACAGAGACTCTTTCTCCGTCGGATAGGAAAAATAAAATAAATAAAAAAGGAATTGGTTTGGTCAGAGGGGAGAAGAATAGAATGGTAAAGGTAATCGATTCACATTACCTGACCATCACCGCCATTGTCACCGTAAGTCTTGTGCTCCTTTCTTCCCGTCAATTACGAGTTATATGTAGAGTCTGTACTCTCCTAATTTGGTTACGTGTTTTCTTATTGTCTGGTGGGGAGGCAGGTGGTGTATCAGTTCATATTCTTTGTAATCACAGCTCTTCTCAAATTCGATCAAGTTACCGACTTTGCCGGTATGTTTAATCATCATCATTTTTTTTGTTACTCACTTCTTCCGATTGTGTAAAGTTTTTTCTTTTTTTGTTTCGTTGACTTTTGCTAACACATGATTTGACTTTAAAAAAAATGGGTTGGTCAGGAAGTAGTAATTTCGTGATACTTGCTGTCTTGACTCTTGTTCTCAAAGGCACTTGGCATTTTCGTCAGGTTCGTTAGGACATCTCTGAGCTACTCTTATCTTCTAAACTGTCGCTGAAGCATTTAGTTCTTGTTCTTGATTATGTATCATTTGACTCCATTTTTTTTTTTTTATCTCTCAGGTAGTTTTGACTTCGCTAGTAATCGTATGGGGACTTCGTCTTGGAATGTTCCTCCTTATGCGGTTTGTAGTTGTACCCTTACTTGATTATATAACCACTCATGTGTTCACCATCTATGCTCTGCACCACGATTCATTAGCAAGTTCGCTTTCTTTTACCAAATTTTTAACTGTGAATAGGATCCTGAAGTGGGGTGAAGACCGACGCTTTGATGAAATGCGTGAAAATATGGGGAAACTAGTTGTCTTTTGGACTCTTCAGGTTAGCTGCCTACAACCTTCGCTTTCTCTTTATCTTTATAATATAAGAGAAGGAACTAGTTCAGCTAAGTTGGATGCTTGTGATCTTATGTCATTTGTTTTCTTTTTAATTTTGTCAGGCCGTGTGGGTTTGGACAGTTAGTTTACCTGTTACTCTTGTTAATGCAAGCAACGGTGGAAGATTGTTTCAGCCCGCAGATGTTATTGGTTGGACTATGTTTGTTGCAGGTTTCTTGGTTGAAGCTATAGCTGATCAACAAAAGCTTTTGTTTAAGAACCGTCAAGAAAATAAAGGAAAATGGTGCGATGTTGGACTGTGGAAGTATTCACGCCACCCAAACTACTTTGGAGAGGTTAGTATTGCTGATACAAGACTTTGATCATAATTCACTTATCAGTTAAACACTGATGGAGTGTGATGATTATGGATGTCAGATGTTACTGTGGTGGGGCATATATGTAGCGTCGTTGCCTGTTCTTAAAGGTGCAGAGTACCTTGTCATAGTTGGTCCAATCTTTCTCACTTTGCTGCTTTTCTTTGTTAGCGGCATACCATTACTCGAGGTTCTCTCTCTATGTCCTCTCTTTTTATACTTTATTGACACTTTTAAAATTACACAGCAGTGAAGTCAACATTTTGTTCTGTATGAAATGCAGGCATCAGCGGACACAAAGTACGGTAACTTAGGAGCTTATAGACACTATAAGAAGACAACCAGGTACTATACAAGCTCTTTTAACACCGTTAATGGCCCTTGAATGTGTAGTATGAGACTTAAGAGTGAAGTGTTTCCTCTTTCAATTTGAATCTTTGGATATTGTTTTGTTTTACAGTCCACTGATTCTGTTACCGCGAGAAGTGTACGGGTACTTACCAAAGTGGTGTAAAACAGTCTTTCTCTTTGAGTTTCCATTGTACAGCAAGAATCTCCCTCAAGAAACTACAGTCTGGTGAGTCTCCTGAATCTATTTTGTTTGTGTCTGCATTTCTTTGTAACCCTACAAGTTTTGTCTTTTGAACTAATGAGCTTTTTCTTATGCGCAAGTAATAGAGGAAAAACTCAAAAAAGAAGCATTGACTGAGGGAGATGAAGAGATAATTACACTCTATGGCCACATGTCTCATGATTAAACTCTCTTTTTGTATAGATTCTCATTGTCTTCAAATATTTGTGAAACGTGATTGATACATTGACTGAGAATACAATTAAGATTCAAGTCCAGCTTCAAAAAATGTTGGAAGCAGGAACATTACAAATAGTAATTTCTTTGATCGTTTCTAACGAAAAAACTAATGAAGGGAACTATTATTGAAATTCTCTAAGGAAATCACTGCACCTGATCTGAGTTCACTTGAGGAAGGATCACTGGAATGAGAGAGTAAGATGTATAGTACCCAGAGATGTAGGCAAACCAGATACACCAAAGCCCAGATTTTTGCAGTGGGGTTTCTACGCAAGAAGACAGTTCCAGAGACGAATATAGCGTTTAGTTGCATCACTAACCATCCCAAATGTTTCTTGCCTGACCTGATTTTGTCTTGGAAGGCTGGTTTAAACTTTGATCCTGAGAGTTGCCATTCTCCTGCTTCAAGATCTTGGGACGAGGCTTCGGCTGCAGACATACCTTTGTTTTCTTCTATAAGCCTTGATACAGCCTAGCAAAGAATCGAAATTGGGTTATGTGTGAAGAACATATCTTTTCTTTTTGGGAGCAGATTGGTGTGAGGGATTCATCAATGTTACCTCGATTCTAAACGATATAGTTGCTTTCTCCGAGGAAAGTGCTTCGACCTGGTAAATTTAGCAAGAGAGTTGGAAGTTTTTAGATTAATTTTGTCTGAGTTCTCTTTACTTACAGAGATCATATACCTGGGATTGTTTTTGAATAAGATGGTCAGTTAGCTGGTCAAGTCTTCGTTTCAGTTCAATTTCTACTTCTGTTGGTTCTTCGAGTTCTTTCCTCATCGTACTGATGTCTGCTTCCAGTTTACTTGCCTGGAGTTATAACAAGGAATCAATGTCAAAAAGGAAAGAACAGTGAGAGGTGTGCATGTAATGAAATCCTCAAGAAGAAACAGCCCAAAAGCTCTATCATATAAGTCCCAACCTTTAATAGAAAATTATACAGCTGCATATACCATATGAAACCTGAATGACAAGTCAATTAGGCAACTGTGGCTAGCTAACCTTATCTTGTAACCACCCGATTTTATCAGTCAGCAAAGAAATCTCTGCTTCAAGCATCTGGTGTTCGAATATGTCTCCTCTAGAAGCATCTAACTACATATACGCAACCATGAATTTCAGATCAATTAGAGTATTAGACAAAGAATTTCATGCCGGATTCGAAAAAAAGAGAGAAGACTTAAGGCACCTTACCTTGTTTACGAGATTTCCACTTCCTCGGATACTAGACGTTTTTCGCTTCAATCCTACATGATAAACACATCTTAAGAATAAAAAAAAACACTATAATGGATGAGTGAAAACCCCCAAATGACAATTGGAAGTAAACCAGTGGGTCATTTGGAGTGGAAGAAGCTTTCTATAAGAGCGAAGGCTTTCATACACTAAGTAAATACATAATAAAAGAAGAAAACTATACCTTCAAGAGCAGATTCTTTAAGCTCAACTTGTTCTCGGAGTGTTGCTACCTGATCTATCTGGACAAATCAGAAAAAGAAAGAGATTAGTAAGCAAATGCATATATAGAACACAGAGCTAAAACTGTGATGCAAGCTTCTTTACATCAGTTGATCTACATCTGCAAGTAACAACAACAATCATGAACCGTTTTCTAGATATACCTGAGCTTCAAGCTTCTTTTGTCCAGCCGCAAGCGATCTTGTAAGTTCAGCATTTGCCGCCTAAACATTCCATTTTTAATGTTATCATCTTCTTGCTCCACATATAAGGTAACAACACTAAAATCAATTTGAACAGTCGGGAAATAAATTACACATTCTGTAATACCTCTAATCCGGCCAAGCGTGAAAAAACTTCCATTCTAGTGTTGTTATGCTTCTGTTTTTCAATGTCGGCAGCTTCCAGTGTTTCCATCATGTTTGTTTGCAACTCCGCAGCCTAACAAAATAAGATAAAAAATCAGCATATATAGTTCACCTAGCCCGAGTACTGCAAATATCAACTAGTGTTCTACAGCATACCTCTTGTGCCTGTTGTTTAGCTCGCTCCTCAACTATTTTCTCTAAACTCTGTTTTTCGCCCTCAAGTCTTGCCACCATATTCTCTCGCTCTTTGATGACCGCTACAGCTTTTGCTGCAACTTTTTCAGCGAAAATTTTCTCTCTTCTTCTCCTCCGCTCCTCCCTCTGACGCTCCCTCTCAGAGTCAGTGCTTGAATCAGACTCATAATCTGATTCAGATTCATCACTTGACAAGGAAGAATCCTTCCTCTTTAAACCATCAGAAACATTTCTCCGCAAAACTTCTCCCCTCGCCTGCTTTCCCCACGCACCACTTCTTATGGCCCCACGACCATCAGTTTTTCCTACATGTGATAACGTCTCCCTAGTTAACGTCTCATTACTCGATCTTTTGGAGTCATCCAGGGAAGGTAGCTTAGTATTAACATCCTTCTCACTCTCTTTATGAGAAACATTCTTATTTTCCACGTCAGCATCAGAAGGGCTAGACATTTCCTTGTCTCTTGGTTCCTTACTCGGCTCTTTCTGTGACTTCCCACTAGAATCAACCACATTACCACTACTCTTCTCACTCCTCTTAGCATCAGACACCAAAGGACTTTTCCCTCCATTCCCTTGCCTTTTTCCATCCTTCTTCACTCCCCGAATTGCACGGGGAGTCCGAGGCTTAGAAATGCTGCTCCCCTGACTCGGAGGAGCGCTCAGAAGCTCTGTCCAATCAGCATCAGAGAGTGTAGGTTTCTCTTGTGTCAAACCTTGTGTCGGTGAACTCGTTGTCCTCTCTCGTGATTGATCTGGTTTGCGTAGGTTTTTACTGCTACTACTACTTAAGTAGCTAGGCTTCTGCTCTAATGAGTTTCTCTGAGAAGAACCACCACCAGAGTCACTACCATCATATGTTTTCTTCCTCAACTGATCTTTCAAAGAAACTGGACTTGAAGATTTAGAAGATGTCTCAAACACCTCTTCAGGGGTTTCAGACTTCTCATCTTTTCGAAGAGACTCTGCTGCCTGCTGATCAATCTGCGAAAAAAAAAAAAACAAAATTTTACACAATCTCTAATTATAGTACATTCCTAACCACTATACATCAATTAACATCCATGACTTAAGATAGAAACTGATAAGGCGATAAACAAGTGAATTCATAAACTTTTTGAGCTATACATTTCAATTGATTTTAAGATTAGTGTAAGCTTGGATCACTTCCATTTGAGATGAAGATCTTTAACCAACGAACCAATAAACCGTTCAAAACATGGAGATCCGAGATTTAATTAGAACCTAACGTCTTCCGAATCGGATGATTCAATCGAAATGTTTATTCCGTTAACTATATACATACACAATCGTACCTGTTGAAGAATGGTTTCGGCGGCTTTGAGCTTCGACGAGATCCAATTCGCCATTTTTCCTTTTAAAACAATAGATTTTTAAAGAGCAAATGTTTATAGTCACCCAAAGTGATGATCCTGAGTTAGTCCCATCCCATCAGAGATGAAGAAGAAGAGTTGTGTAATTAATTAGCAAACCCAGAAAGAAACTTCACACCAAACAAACCGAATCCGGTTATCTTTTCCGGTTCATGATTAATTTTATCCATGTTCTTTGATATTTTGACATTTGACCAAACTCACACACCGTTAGGTTTGAACAGTTTTCTCAGAAAAAAAAAAAAAATTCAACAAAGAGAGTTACTTGGGCCTGAAAGGCTTTTATAAGAGGCCGTAATATTCACGAACTAGTTCAATTTCTTTTTTGCCATGCTATTTATTATTCCTTACTCGAAGGAGAGGAGGAGTATTGGAATAGAATTCCACCTCTCTTTATAGGATTCCTTCCTTTTATAGCCTCCATCCTTTTTCTCTGGTGCCAATTGGATTCTCTTTCTTGAGTTGCTTATCACGCTTGATTAACAAAAAGATCACGCGTAGAATTTAATTCTATACAATTATACTTCCACAACTTTGTACAAATATCCATACAAAATGTCCTCTAATAGGAAAATGAAACGCAAAATAACATATACTACAGTAGTAGTATTTGGGAAACGAATATGAATGTCCGCGTCGACTGAGTCAATTTAATTCCAGCATTCATTTCAATGTTAGCAACCGATATATTATTTAATTCATTGAAACTAGAACTTCAGTTTTTTAACCATTTAACAAATCTTCGAGTGGAGAAAACAAATGTAAATACGACACATAAACCTAAATTCAAATTTCAAAATGATACTAGTATCTTAATGTTATGAACTTATGAATCAGTTTATATTTATCCATTAAAATTTTGTACTAGGACAGTTATCTTTTCCAAGACGTAGGAAATCTGATTCAGCTTCTAAGCTAAACTAAATTTCGTTCAAAATTATAGCAGTCAAGAATGTAGATGATAAAGAAATTAGAAAAGCAAAAATTTGTTAAACGAAAGCAACCATATTATCTTAATCCATATAACAGATCGGTAGAAACAGAGATGGATCAACGTTAGACTTTTTTTATCACATTTTTTTTTCGAAAAAAGCACCTAAAAAAACATAGCAGTAGTAATTATTCCCAGTTTTAGAGAGAGGATAACAAATCTAGAAAAAACCCTAGGCCGAACCACCGTTAGCCTTAGCGAGTGAGGATGACGTCATCATCTTCTGAAACTCCTCGAAATTGACATTCCCATCGCCGTCAGCGTCCACAGGCCCGATCATCTTACCGCAGTCCTCCACGGAGCACGACATCCCCAAACGGTTAAGCACCTGGTGAAGCTCCGCGGCGGAGATGAGCCCGTTCTTGTCCTGATCGTACAGATCGAAGGCGTCGCGGATCTCGGAGGCGCTCGAGGAGGAGCGGCAGAGAGCGGAGAACTCGTCGACGTTGATGAAGCCGTCGCGATCGGTGTCGACCTCTTCAAGGACGCGGTTGAGCTCCGTCTCCGTGTAGGAAGTCCCCATGGCCTTGAAGACGCCTCCGAGCTCGGTCACCGAGATCTTGCCGTCGCCGTTGGAGTCGAACTGGTCGAAGACCTTCTTGAGTTCATCTGGATTCGCCATGTCCACCGGTGGTGGTGACGTGGATTTGGCGGTTACGGGGTTAGCGCTTGCCATGTTTGTTGTTAAAGTTAAAGAGAGAGGTTTTTTGGTGAAATTTTGTTGGAGGCTTGTGGGATGTATGCAGGACACTGAGTTTGACCCTTTTATAGACTTTTTTTTTCTTCTTCTGTTAGATACCTTTCTTCTCTATCCACTAGCTACGTATTTTGGTCGCCATCGGTTATACACTTTGAATCGAATCTTTTGTACGTATTTAATTAAATTTCCTTTCTTTGTATAACAACATTAGTATTAGATTTCGTTATTTCTGGATTAGTCACACTTAAGAGTTAAATTCTATGTTATTAAAACCTTTAAAGCATAATTAATCTGATATTCTTAATGCGAGATTTTTAGCAGAAGTTAATAAAATGTTTTTTTAATTTTTAACTAAAATGTTAAGAATCGGTTCTTAAATAAATATTATAAAAACTGATTTTAAGTTTTTTTAGTAAAAAGTTATGAAACCATTTTTTAGTTTACGCTAAAAATTAAATTGTGAATTAATTATCGTCTTATTTGAATTGTGAAATGACTAATTGAGTGAATAATTTTCACTGTATTTTATTAGTCGGAAGATCAAAAGCGTGTAGCACAATTACAGAGTTTTTTATTTGGACGGATACGTACCCACGCCACGCCTATAGGTACTATTCTACGTACAATAATATCCAGCGCGTATTTTTTATATATATTTGGTGAAACTTTCCACGTGTTACAACGCTTAAACAACACGCGACCATCACGTGCCATCATGGGATTTTCATTTTCTTTAGGCAAATGGATTATCCTCCCCAAGCCCAAAATACAAAACCCCAGCAATTAAGTTTGTATACTATTCTTAAGCAGCCAATAATATCTCTCTAATTCATTAGCTGATTCAATCTTTAGAAGACGACTTTCTTAACAATACTATTACAGTAGTAGTCAATACGTTTGTTTCACCTTTTCTTTGGTCAGAAAACCTTTGTTCTTTTCGTAAATGCCGCATTAAAAATTTGTTTGTTTCGTAAATGCTGCATTAAAAAGAGAATTTCGAGGAAGGGTTTGTTGATATGATTCAAAAGATGCTTAACGCGAGTCGTGACAGGGAAGTATGTCTCAATCCAACGCGGTTAACGCGTCAGTTTCACACGCTCCTTTACGCGGCATTATAACACATGTGGGGTCATTCTCCTTTTTTTTTACTATTAAGAGTTCTGTTAATTACAGCTTCATCCAAAACTTTACTGTATTTCAATATTCAACCCTCTGCAGATATCATTTTCCTTGTCATAATCAAACCAGACGATTAGATTTCTATTTCAGTCTTGTTATTGGTAATGACTGGTTGCTTTATGTCGTCACCAAAAATGTGAGAAAGATACACATAAGTATGGTTGGAGTGAGCATTATCGAGTCCAGTAGTGTCATTTAGTATGAGCTAACATATGTATGTATATATTGGCTATAAGATCAAAAAAGAAAAAGAAAATCAAATGATGGCCCTTTCTGTTTTTGTTCATGCCCATTAACAAAATGATTGGTTCATAAACAGTCAAAACTACTAAACCGGCTAATCTACTAATAATAGCAATCCCAATTAATGTGAAGAGTTGTGATTTTCTTACTAATAACAGCAATCCCAATTAATGTGAAGAGTTGTGATTTTCTTCTAAAAAATTATGAAAAAATATCACAAAAAGTTGCATCCCTCTATTTGTAACTCCCTGCTTAATTTTTAGAAAGTTGCATACCTTATTATTCATACATGTTCACTATAATCTTACTTATGACTGTATGTTATATATTTTGTTCATAACCGTTCATGGCACATTTTTATTCATAACTACTTTCATTTTTTCAATCTCAATTAATTCCTATTGATATGTTTTTTCATTATACAATTTATATACATCTTTGTTCATAAAAGTTTATGGTACTTTTTCGTTTATAATCGTTTAATCATTTTTTTACTCATGACTGTTTATTATATAGTTTTGTCCATGACCATTTATGGCATCTTTTTGTTTATAAATACTTTATTTTTTAATCTCAATTAAATCATAACGATATATGATACCTTTTCATTTATTATTGTTTTCAGTTATTTTAAAACTACATTTCTTTTCAAATCTATTTCATTTTTTTTTGTTTGTTTCATAACCATATTTTATATTTTTTACTTTGTTACCACGTTTGACTTGGAAAGTTGCATCTTTTCCATTTATGTCTTTTCAGCTCTATAAATTGTGTTTTGTACTATATTCTTTGCGTAATCAAATCATACTTTTTGAAAGCTCTCAAACTATTAAATTTTGAATGTCTATGTAATAGAATCTCCTTTTCAATGGTTAGAATTTAGGGAAATTTGGCCCAATATTCATAGTAACCCAACAAAAACAATTAATAACCATAGTAAAGTCATGGTTAGGCTATGGTTGTCTTTTTTCTCTTTTATCCCTATATTATCCTTCAACTGCGCGTGAAAGAAAACTGTTTCTTTTTCTCAGCTAATCATACTATATTATATATACATACAATAGTATAGTTTCTTAGAATCTCCGCCACCAACATCACCACCACATCTTCCTCCTCCTCAGTCACTCCATTTTAATCACTTCCACCAACACTTCTTCCTTATCATCTTCCTCCACCACCACCACCTCTTTCTCCTTTCTCACTCTGCTTTAATCATTTACACCAACACCTCCTCCTCTTCTTTCACTCAGTCACTTCCTCCTCCCTCCTCCATCACCACCACCATCACCATCACCACCTCCTCTTCCCTCTCCTCTCTCCCCCCTCTTCAATAATCACTTCCACCAACATCTTCTCTTCCCCCTCCTTCACCAACACCACCACCACCACCTCGTCTCTCACTTCACTTCAATTACTTCTACAACACTTCCTCCTCTTCCTCTCTCATCCCACTTTAATCATTTTCTACTCCTACTTAGTTTTTTTAAATGGAGTCATGTTTATACGATGCATCAACACTGTGTCAGACATATGTTCTATTATGTATTCCTGCTTTCATTGAACTAAACATTCGTGTTGTATCTCTCTATTGAATAACTATACTATATGTTGTATAGTATGGTAACGTTTTTTAGATTAGTCTTTTTATGTATTTTATGCAACAATGAAATATGTTTGTATTGTGACATAGCAAAGAACTTTCATTACTATATTATTACATTTTTACTGTAATTTTACTAATTGTAGACTTTGTTTTTTTATGGCGGCAGTTAACACATTGTCGTAACCGATAAACTTCAGTGTGGTTACTTCTTATACATAACATAATCCAATAAACAGGTTCTTTGTTTCCATTCGACTATACTATACTAGTTGTGTATAGTATAGAATCATATGGTGTTTTGCACTGCATGAATTATACTATATGTCATATCATATAGTAATATGTGATCCGTTTTTGATGCAAATTTTGATTGTACAGTCCAACTTTGTCATAATATGTTATAGTTCCATGTTACAATATGAATTATACTCGTTATATTATAGTCCCATGTCTATGTCTCCCATATTGTACATGCCAACTGAGTCATAATATGCAACATAAATGATTATTTACGTGTTGTTAGCTTTTTTCCTATATTTTCAACTGTATACATTGGTATAGTATTAATGCCTTTCGAATGCACGTTATGTAAGTTTGCATATGTACCACCAAGCTGGGTTCTTACTTCTTCATACATGCATCATTTTTTCGTTTTCCATATGTACATATACTTTGGACCCTTTTGTTATTCGTTATGTGAGAAAACTTTTACCATTGCCGAGCTACATGTACTATACTATATCACATATATTATAGTACCTTCTCCCCATTCATTCTCTTTATATGTTATTGTACCATATATATATCTTCTTTTTAGTATAATCTAACATTGTGACCTTTTTTATGTTCCAAACTTCTAAATTTTTTTATCTTATTTCTTTGGAGTTAATTATTCCGCCTCAGAAACACATACGTTATGTTGATGCTCTCTTTTGCTTTTTCTGTATTCAAACTACATCATCTATTTGATAGTATAGTTTAGTCCTGGAACCACATAAGTTCCATCTTCAATAACGTGATTGTTGAACGCGAAGTGTAACGTAAGCAATGTTCCACTCTCATCATTTCACGCGGACGCGAGTGAAAGGAGAAAAATGTCCGCTTTTAACATAAATTATCACATCAACTGTGTTATGGTTATACTCTTCATTTCATCATTTCCTATGAATATTGCACAAATTCACCCTAGAATTTATGAGAGGATGAAGTTCTTTTATTTTTGCTGACAAACAATCCACTTGTCGCTTTCTTTTTCTCTCTTCTCAGATTATCTATTAGTTTACTTTCGTCTCCGATTTCGGTACTAAGGTTATGAATGGCGACCCCTTTGCGGTGCGTATTTCATTTGATGGGACTGAAAAACCGCACATGTCACCAAGCATCACAAAGCATAAACCAAATGCGTTTTTCTCATAATACCGCTTTTGTCAAAAACTGTTTTTTGTTTGTTCTTGTTAATACAAATCTATATTATAATAGTACAGTTTCTAGGCTCCTAAGAGCGCCACGTCAGCACCCGCGTTTTTTTATTCTATAGTTCATTTTGGCGCTGGTATGTACAATGAATGTGCTCTTGGTCGAGTGGTCAATGACGCGGCATTGAGGTAGCTTGTGCGAGGGGATGGGTTCGAATCCCACTGTTTACTTTTTCGCGAAACCAAAACCACATAATAAGATAAATATTTAACGGTTCATAATATTATTGAATGATGATTTAGCCAAGTGGCAACACCATCGTATTTAGTGTTTAATACGTGAGAGGGGGCATGTTCGAATCCTTATGGTTCCATTTTTTTTCTTGCGTATATGTTGATGATTTTCGGCCCAAGCTAATTATTTGTTGGCCTAATTAAGAATTAATGCGTTACGAAAAACGGAACCAAAATTATGGGTCCACGGAATTTTCTTTAACCGTATAAAAATGAATGAGGACTTGGCTGAGTGGTTTAAGCAGTGATAATAAAGCTTAATTCGAGAAGTTATGGGTTCGAATCCCTTAGCTCTCATCTTTTTAA